GCCCATGGGGGTATGCAATGCCCCTGCAGTCCACCAGTGTCATATGTCTGCTGCCCTTTGACATCTGATCAGTCAGATCTGCCACATCTACCTTGATGATATGATTATCTGGTCACAGACACTAGAGGAACATGAACACAGCATCTGTGCAGTCCTTCAAGCCCTTCATGACACTAAGCTATTCTGCTCCCTCAAGAAGACCCAGTTGTTTTGTACTGAGGTTCTTTTCCTTGGTCATTGCATCTCTGCCCAGGGGATCAAACCAGACTCCTCCAAGATCATGCAGATTCTTGACTGGCTGGTCCCACATTCAGTCACTGACATGTGTGCCTTCCTTGGCCTTGTTTGTTGTCACACACCAAAGGTGTTTGGTGAGGTGGACATGGATACAGCTGATGAATGGAGATGAAGACCATAGCCCTCATGTGAAGAAGGACAGCCAGGAATGTCAGCAGTCATCCCTTGCACAAGAACAAGTCATCAGTGCCAGAGAAAAAGAAAGGGAGTGAGTTAAGCACTGGCTAAAATTCTTAAGTGCCTGTGTATGGCATTCCAGTTTTCAACATATCTCTGCCATTTCTGCAGATACCAAGACCATTCCCACACTTGCTTGTAGTGCTCAGCCACATGATCTTACCTTCCAAAATTGGAAAGGACTTGTGCACTCCACATGTTTCTACAGCACTCCCTCCAAAAGATGCTCATTTTGCTAAATTCTTCTGATATGGCTGCCTCTACATCAATCATTTCACTTGTCCCCTTTGCTAGGGACCATGGCTACATAATATATCTACCAGGAGTTCCTACCAGCTTCTGTCCTGAAGCATCCTGGTACATCCCACCCTTGTCTGTGCCCTCTCAGCCCATCCAGCTTGGACAGCATGTTCTTTCTGTCAGTATGACCTCTAGGAGGACATTCTTTGGTCGCCTCAGGTCTGTCATTCACTTGGAAAGGTCTTATGTGGTTGTTTCAGTCTCTCCAGTCCAAGAAGCATATGGATCCTTCCTCCCTGCTCCCTGCAATGTCTTCATACCAGTCTCATCCATCATTCTTCCAAGATTGCAACAGCTACAGTATAATCTACTGTTCTCCACTCTCCCTGATCACATCCATGATGAGTATGATGCACATCTTGCCTCCTTGTTGCAAGGTACAGCAGATGACACTCCCCCTTCATCCTCTCTTCCAACAGAGCCTTGCTCATGAAGTTTTTATTTGCTTCCCTGAGAGGATGGTTTGTGGGGGAAGGTTGCAATCCCCTATGCTCCTGTCACCCCACAGACCCCCAAAGCTTGACCCCTGTTGACATCTGACTCACCCTGTCCACTTTTGGATGTACTATGTCAGCATCAGATCAGCACTGCCTCTCTGTCATCCCACCTTGGCCTAGAAGTGATCTCTTTGAGATGTGACATGCACAGCCTCCCCCTAATGCAATTCCAGTGCACTTTCCCAGTTCCTGACATTACTTGACTCATACTTTGACATTCTGACTGTCTTTGACTCACCTACTGCCAATACTTACCAATCTTTTGACTTTGCTTACTGATTCTTTGCTTTTTGGGTTGCTAATCCTTACCAATGCTTACCAATGCTTTCCAAGACAATTACCCATCACTTACATTCCTTACTCATCAGTTACCAATCACTTACCAAGTGTTTGCACCTTGTTTTCCAAGGGCAACACCCCTGTACTGTATATAAATCACTGTACTTAGATAGCAGAGGAGAAGACATCAGAGAGCCCCTCTTGCTCACATTTTATCATCACTCAGTAATTCATTCAGCAGCTTTGATAGTTGAGACTTTATTAAGGGTCTAACTATCATCTACTTCACTTATCCTTGTCTATCATCAATATACTTCGCTCCAAGCCCTCCCTGAGCTCAGTGCAGCTTAGGACATCGAATTAAGTCATCATCCATCCTCATGTAGGCTGACAGCAGTCTACCCTATCACATTCTCTTGCATTCCTGCTCCTTCTTCATCAGGAGCACCCCCAACCCTCAGCACTTGTCTTTGAGTGTTGTAGCTTGCAAAAACCCTCTCAAAGAACAGGTTCTACCATCTAGGTACTGCATAGGCACACCACCACTCACTCTTTTTGTCTTTTGTGTTGGTTTTGGTTGGTTTTCACCACTGAACCACACTTTGACTCACATCATTATGTCACTGATCACCCTTCCCAATCTTGCAGACCACACATGCATCTTGAATACATTGACAACCAAGACTGTGGAGCTCAAGTTCCCTGCCTGGACAGACAATCACCAGTGGGCCTTTCAGGCCATCAAGGATCTTGTGGTTAGTCCCCATTGTCTGATGACCATCAACCATGACAATCTGGGGGACAATCACATCTTCCTTACATGCAATGCCTCTGACTTCTGCACTGGGGCCATCCTTTCTTGGGGACCTACTTGGGAGACCACCCAACTGGTAGCTTTTGATTCCACCCCCCTCCTGTGGCATGGAGCTTAATTACCCTGTGCATGAAAAGGAGCTTCTTGCCATTATACACACATTGAAGAAGTGGCAGGTTGAACTGCTTGGTGCCCTGGTGCTGGTATATACAGACCATTGCACACTACAGAGTTGCCATGCAATGTGATCTCTCCAGGCATCAAGCTCATTGGCAGGAGTATATGTCACAGTTCAACCTCACCATCTGTTATATCCAGGGAGAGTGCAATGTTGGTGCCGAATGCTCTGTCCCATCATTCAGATGATGTGCCTCCAGTTGCTGCCATATCGACTGTCAAGGTCAATAAGTCACTTGCTGTGGAGATCTTAAAGGGGTACACAGAGGACCCCTTCTGTCAGCAGCTCTTTTCTCTTCTTGACTCCCTCCCTGGCTTACAGGAACATGATGGGCTACTGTACCTTGCAGACCATCTGGTGGTTCCTCACATCCACTCACTTCACAAGTGCTTCTTCCACCTTGCTCATGATGCACTAGGTCACTTTGGTACTGACAAAATGTACACAGCACTTCGCAATTTGTTCTACTGGCTGAATATGCACTGTGATCTTGTGACCACATATATCCCTGCCTGCACCCAATGTATGTGTAACAAGTCTCCAACTACAGCCCCAGCTGGCCCACTACACCCCTTGCCAGTTCTGGATGCTCATGGTGACTCTGTCACCATCAATTTCATTGGCCCCCTGCTGGAGGACCATGGGTTCAACATGATCATCACCATGACTGACTGTCTTGGTGCAGACATGCGCCTGGTGCCTTGTCACAGTTCTATCACTGCTTCAGAGTTTGCTGCTCTCTTTTTTGATCATTGGTACTGTGAGAACAGCCTTCATTTGGAGGTCATGTCAGATTGCGATAAGCTTTTTGTCTCTCGCTTCTTGAAGTCTCTTCACAAGTTGACAGGGGTTAAGCTCAAAATGTCCTCATCCTATCACCCTCAGGCTGATGGTGCAAGTAAATGCACTAACAAAATGGTCAACCAGTGTGTTCACTTCCACATCAAGTGCAATCAGAAAGGCTGGGTTAAGGCCCTGCCCTGGGTATGCTTCCACATTATGAACACTGTTAATAATAGTACAGGCTTCTCCCCCTTTCAGCTTCATCTGGGCCACTCTCCCTGCCTCTTGCCTCCCATCTCTGCCTCAGACATCTCAGAAGGGGAGCATGCTGTGGGTCAGACTGAGCAGGCCGACACAGCTGCCTTCTTGGCATGTTTGGAGTTGGATGTTCTCAAGGCATGTGACAACCTTCTTGCTGCCAAGGCAGCCCAAGCTCATGTGGCAAACCATTGCTGCATCCCCAACCCGAGATTTTCGGTTGGGGACAAGGTTTGGCTATCTACAAAACATTGCCATCATGAATATATTACTAATGGCACAAATCGTGTAGCAAAGTTTATGCTGCATTATGATGGTCCATACACCATTTTGGTGGCTTCACCCGAGATGTCCTCCTACACCTTAGATGTGCCCCATGCTGCCAATGCATGCACCATGTTCCATGTCAGTCAACTGTGCACCTTCATGCCCAATGACACAATGCTTTTCCCCTCTCATGAGTTGCCTCACCTGGGTCCCATTGTCACTGCAGATGGGCAGATGGAGAATTTGATTGAGTGGATTTTGGATGAGAAGTGGGCCAGAAGGACAAAGAAATACCTGGTGCAGTGGTTGGGGTATGGACCAGAGGATGATGAATGGTTGATGAAGAAGGAATTGGAGGATTGTGAGGCATTAGATGTTTGGGGATGAACAAGCTGCTCACCCTCACCCCCTGTTGCTCTTTTTTATGGGTTGGGAGGGTGTAAGCATACACTTACTACTCACACACCAGTCACTCATGCTCACTCACACACTACTCATGCTAACACATCACACTATCAATCTCCTATCACATCCTCATCAGGACATGTGGATCCCTCAATCCTTCCCACTGTGTTGTGCTGTTTGTATGCCCTGGGGTATATATATTGGTGCTATCTGCATGTATGATCATCTCTTCTTTCTCTCTCTCTCTCTCTCTCTCTCTCTCTCTTTCTGTGATTGCCCTGTATCAGCATATATGCTAAATTGCTTGATCACATGCCTGTCCATGTTCTGTTGCTGTTGTGATCATTTGAGTGTGCTCACCCCTCCATGGTGAGTTCCAGTCATGCGAGGTTCAAGATTCAGTACAACATCACTCATTGCACAACTCGGCGACGTAAACGATACAACTAACACATCCTGCCAATACACACACTGATTGCAGCTAGATTTCGATTCAGACTCAGACCAGCACATCTACTGGTTCGGGACCAACTTCTCCAAATTGAAGAAGTATTCTTCGCCAGGCCGGATGCCCATGGGGTTGAGCTTGATCTGAGCAGATGTTAGTGTATGGTCATGATTACCGAATGGGTCATGTTTAGAGCACCTGGGAGTGGTATTCGGAGTTGGGAAGATTCCAGTAGGCGACTCATCCGAGCTCTGAATGCTATGACAAACGTCAATAAAACACAGCCACTTTTAAGAGTTAAGACGGCCAACTCACGTATACCCTCTGTATTCTGGATGGGACAATTTTCCACTTCTCACCCGGTTCCGCATAGTACGCAAACACTTTGTCGTCGTCATCGCGAGTCCTGGCGCTATTGACAAGAAGAAGATAGAGTTCGCCATCTTCCTGTAACACTTCCCACTGCAAAATAATTAGCTTCAAACCCGCACATGAACAGATTTAACTTACTATTGTTCCCTCAGGGGAAAAATCAGGAGGTGCAGCGACAACTGGCTTGATTGCAGAGTTAATTCTCGGGTCAACCCCAATGGCTGGGTTGGGGGCGAGGTGAGTGGTGATCCTATACAGACCAGGGACAATAGACATGTTGAAGACGCTTCAAGTGACAACTGTTGGTGACAGAAGTAGGAGTACGAACTGTTTTTATATGTGACCACGGAATAGGTGTGGGGGGTGCCTGTTCCGGTTACCGGTCTAGTGAACCACAGGTTATTGCCGGAGGCCACATCCGGAAGGCGAGCGACATTTCACCCATGCGAAGGGGGGAATCCCAAACACGGGAAGTACGTCAATTAGTGACTGGTTCAGCATGAACAAGGTAGTCAGCACCAACAAGTTCAAACCATCCTTACGAGTTGTAGCCTTAGGACTTCACATATACGCAGGTAGTCCAGCCTGTCTCCGGTGGGTCGGTGGGCGCGGGAAACCTTGGAGCAACGTAGCTTCTGACCGCTGCCCCTATCAAACATAAACGTGATGTGGGACCAGGGAAGCTTCCCCAAAGGCTTCCCCAGGAACATCTGGAAGCGAAATACCAAACGTATATCCCCTCAGCACCCGACCAATATATGGAAGCTGGTGCAGGGGTCTTCCAATATATTGAAATGGTAAGGACAGTGCAGGAGCCCGTGCACGTGTCAACGGAAATTCCGCAGGATATTGATATTTTGAGGGCATTGTCATGTACTCTGCCAACCAGTGTGCGATTGATAATAAAATTAGACAACAAAGAATCGAGAGGAGAGGGAAGAAGTATACACTGTTAGAGAAGTAGCCTGAGCAATGAGCACGTTAGCACTGAACGAGCTCTTGGACCAACTCCGGCGTTCTTCGTATGGTCAAGGCTGTGTTCACGTACTGTATCTATTGGCCCTTGGAGCACAAATGACAGATTGCGCCGTAGACCCAGAGGTGGGGTTTAATGAAACCTGATGAAGGGGTTTCATCGTTCTGGACCCCAGCCAGGGCGAGGGATGGTGCACGCTTGACGCACTCTACACACGTGCCAGGTCAGAAGGACATTAGAAAACGGTAGTAGATAGAGCCGGCACCCGAAGGACGTATGATGTTTAACGTTGCAAGCCAGACAGCACATGGACATGGCGTCGCACCGTCCGTTGATGTATGGGTCTTTATAAAGCAGTCTTGGGTCATAAGTGCAATAGCTATGCCTTCCGAGATGGGGCAGGTCAATATATAATACGACGCAACCCGTTGGCCGACGTTGAGGGTGGTAGTGTTGTCTAGCGTTGTCTGACTCTCATCATATGTTGCTGAGAAACTAGACTTGTGTTGAACTCCAGCTTCGCTGAGATATGTTGAGTGCCGCCGCAGCTCAAAAAGCCTCTGCAAGACAGGCGGGCGAGCAGTCTTCCCAGTCATTGCCCCATTCGCCGTCGGTTCAAGCACCCAAACATGAACCAACTGTGATCTTCAATTTTTTACACCTTCCCCCTCACTCATGATGACTTTCGTGGGGATATCAAGGCGGCGAGGGGGTGGTATTGGTTCTGAATGCCAATGAATTCGTGTCTACCTCCTCGCTGTACGCCAAGGTTGTGCAAACCTACGCAGCGTTACGCTTGGACCTTCGTCGACGCAACATTGAGAACTCGTGCCCAGATCGTCGCCTATACTGGTGATCTTGTGGGTTTCTACGGAAATGCGATTTAGAAATGTTCATGCGAACCCAGGCCCGACAGTCGTATTGATCCAGTACGTGAGCTCAGGTGTGGAGGGTTTGGGCAATACAAGGATTACACAAGCCACCCAGCGAACGTTTTCGCCCGCACGTTCTCTGATGCGCAATCTAATGCCATGTTCAGTGTGGTTTCGGTACGTTGTGGTGGTTGGCTGAGTTCTGGAGTGACCGCGTCAAGAAGGACATGGAGGTTTGTCACAGGTCCATTAACCCCATCCTCAAAGACACTTTGGAAATGAAAAGATCGATGTGGGGTGCAGGATAGGTGTGCACTGTGGAAAAGGGGCTTTTTGAAGATAGTTGATTATCCGCCACTGTGCACTGGGGCTTTTTTTATAACGGCAGCACGCTACAGAATGATAGCACGGCGGTAAAGTCACTGTAGCAAATACTAAATACTTGTGAGGAGGATTTAGAGGATGTCGCGGGGATATGTTGCCTTTCACCAATAGCTTAGGACCTTGCGATGAGCGTCGTCAATAATGATGATATATTCCCTCCTCTCACTCCAGATTATATTCTCGCTTTTCAGTTCTCCAATTGGTACCCATCTTTCATTCGCGCGTCTCCTAAATCAACCATCATCAGACCGCTGGGAAAGGACTTCAAGCATTACTTAGAATCTGATAGCATATTCGTCCCGGACGGTTCTGAAGATGTGTTCGTCAAAGAAATATTGGTCACGAATGCAACTTGGATAACTCGATGACAGGGTGGTTGAAAGCACGATTTCTGATGACGACGACGACGACAAATACGAGGACACAGCGATCGCTGGGGGACATTTTTCCTTCCCAGAATTGGACGAACGAATAAGGTCTGTCATTAGAGAATACAAAGCTGTCTTTTCCAAGCTGAACTTTTCATCGCCCAAGGTAAGCTCCCCTTCCGTATATTCTTGGGTTTGCCAAAATGGACGTTACAGGACGCTTCGTGGGTGCTGCCGGCGTCTTCTGCGCTCAAATGTACATTCCCCAGTGGACGTATACCTTCTTCTGAAATCGTCTGATTTCATTGCGCACGACCTCAGTATCGAAAGCGTATTCGACGGCTGCAAGATCGATGATCTGCCGGACTACGAACTAGAACTTGTACTTCGAAAATGGTACCCAGTGGACCATAGTCGTGAGGTTCCTCTCCATTAGCTGCGTTCATGTCTAGATATAGGCTACGCCACAGGCATATCGCAACGAGACACAAACTTCTACGATTTCATGATCAACCCCGAAGTTCAAACCACAATCAAGACAACAGTTTACAACCTCTGGCAGGAAATCTTCCGACCCAATTGGACCTTCTCACGGAAGGATTGCAGGTACTTTGTGCACTAGTTACCCAGACCAGATCGTATCTGACTTCTGACTTACTGAATAGATATTTTTGATTTCCTATTAACACGTGATCTTTCAAGCGGACACATCATCGACTTCAATCCCTATGCTCCACGCACAGATCCGCTGTTATTCACGTACGAGGAGCTTCACGAGGTGCTGTCCAGGGAAAACCAAGGTGCCTCTGCAAGCCGGACATTCCTCCCAGATCTCCGTGTGATCGATTCATCACTTCACCCTGCCGCAACACGCAATATGCCAGCATATCAGCACAACAGGATGCCAATCGAAGCATTGACACTGAGTGAAGACCGAAATATAGTGGAGTTTGGCGAGATATGGCAGGAGGAAGTGATACGGGCTATGCGCGAGAAGGACGATTAGTAGACTATGGTAGCGCGCTCTTAATAACTTGGCTTTTGGTTGCACCTTCTTACGTGTTTCTCTTTCTTAGGAGACGAATCCATCCCCTCTCTTTGTGCGTTCTCGTAAAGTTGGCGTCTGCACGGGCAGGAAACCCAGCTCTCCCAATCTTTGAACAAACCATCAGGAAAATAACACTTTACTATTTTTGACTTTTTGTGACTAATGTGACTTTTTGGGAAGGAATCTACTATCATTACCCATGTCCTGCAGGCATGGCTGCACTTTTCTTGCTGATTTTGGCCTTGTTCAAACCACCTAATTCATAGCTTTCAGTAGATACCACATACATTCAAATTGATGGAGGTTCCAAAGAGATATTGTGATTTTTCTCTCAGATAGTGTGCATCATCACCAATGGCTCAATATCTCTGAATTTTCAGACATTTTCTAGTCTTCTTGGTTTAGATATATCATCACTTAGTTGTCTCAATAGATTCTGTTCTCTTTTCATTCTTCAAAATGCTGTATATGATCAAAAAAAAAGTACAGATAGTAGGTTCCTTCCCAAAAAGTCGCAAATAGTCACAATAGTCACAAAAAAGTCAAAAAAAAGTCACAAAAAGGTCAAAAATAGTAAAGTGTTAATTTCCTGATGACTGATGTGAACAGCCAACACAGAGACACAATGGGCCATCATATAGTGGCATCGATTATCCACCTTCATGGACCCACAGTTGCGGACTCGTTCCCAGATCATCGCTTATACCGGTGGTCTGGTGGGTTTCTACGGACATGCGACTTAGGAGATGTTCATGCAAGCCAAGTTCGAAAAGTCGTATTTTATGTCGCATGTAGAGTTTTCGAGGACGATGTCTTCAACCCAATGCGGGATGCTCCCATACCCTGTGTCACAGGAGCAGTAAGAGCAGGAAGGGGATAGCACTGCGACCTGTTGTTATATGTACTAGAGTGTCTCATCACCCAACGATTGTTGAACACGACTGATATCACAACTCATTCATGTAAGCAATACACAGAACACTCCTTGCCAACATACATATCGTTCACCGCTAAATTTCGACTTGAACTCAGACCCACACATCTACTCGACCAACCTCTCCAAATTGAAGTAATATCCTTCGCCAGGCAGGATCCCCAGGGCCTTGAGCTCGACCTGAAACAGAGGTTAATGTATGGTCATAACTATCGGTGTCAGGCTTGGAGCACCTGAGTTTCATATTCGGCGTTGGGAAGATGCCAAGCAAGCGATTCATCCGCACTCAAGATGCTATGACAGACCGTTAATGATCCACAGCCACCCTGAGAGTCAAGACAGCTGACTTACACATAACCCCTGCGGAGTGGGTGGTGGACGATTTTCCATCTCTCGCCCTGTACCCCATTGTAAAATGCAAACACTTTGTCTTCTTCTGGGCGAATATTGGCACTATTGACTACAAGAAGATAGAATTGGCCATCTTCCTCCTGTACTACTTCCCACTGCAGAATAAATAACGTCAAACCCACACACATAGAGTGAACTTACTGTTGTGCCGTCGGGGGAAAATTGTGGAGGTGCAACAATAACTGGCTTGATTCCCGACCTAATATACGGGTTAACCCCAATGGCTGGGTTAGGGCTGAGGTGAGTGGTGATCCTATAGAGACCAGGGGAAATAGACATGTTGAAGTCGCTTCAAGAGAATCCGTTGATGAGGTAGCAATATCCTAACGAGCTGCTTTTATATGAGGCCAAGGCGAGAAAGGGGTCATGTACATATGTGGGGGTGAATGCACCTACGTTGATCAGAACGGGTAGGTCTGTTGAAAAACCGAACGTATGGACCTTCCATCGAGGAAGATGCTTCTAGGGCATCATGTCATGAACATCGTGACAACTGCATTTGGATGTTTCGGCATCTCCCACACAGAAGCTAACACGGGGTCGACTTAAAAGGGCTTCACCTCAAGTTCGTGCCTCTCCTGCTAGACTCCACATTCCCTTTTGCAGAATCTAATGAAACCGCCTTTTCTTTTGGAAAAGATCAAGCGCAATTTTGCCAGAGGCGCCACTACTTACGACAGCGATTCCTTTCATTTTCCGACTGCATGATGTCCATTTGATAACTTCCAAGCTCTTTCGAAATGGGATACTGCGGCCTGTAATAGTTATAGCAGGCAACTGAACATTTCCCAAAAGAGTTGACTTAACCAAGGCATTCACCCGGATTACTTTGAAGCCACGACGGGGATTGAGTTTCAGTGGGTTACATAGCTCCAGTCACCGTATGAATGGGGATAATATGGATAGAAGGTATAAACGAAGGGGCTGCGGAAAACGGATTACGGGGATGACCCTCCAAGGTGTTGTCGGTGGCGGTTCCACTGACACATAGCCTGGCTGTCAGAACATACGCTGCGGGGTCGGAAAGGATCGACTACAAAGATTCATCCACAGAGCACTGAGTGGAGCACATATTTCACCTCCTGGGACCACTGGGCGTACATCTGCGGGAACAGAGCACACCATCATGCTTCCCATACAAGAACAAAGGTGGATCAGCATTCGAAGATAGAGTAGGTCCTGGCACAGTCCTGCGCCGCTCGCTCGCGGAGTTTGCAGCGTGGGGTCTCATTACAGCTGCAGGCCAATCGCCGCACTGCGGCACCACCTCATCTAGTCGACTACCTCGCTGGGCTCTTCCTAGAGTGCATACACAAGTACCTGGTTTCATGACCATACAGAAGATAGATCTCCTGCGTCGCTTCTCATCGGTTGCCCTGTCGGACATAAACGTGATCTGAGATCAGGGAAGCACCACACGAAGTACCCCAGGAATAACATGAACGTGCGGGGAAGCGAAATACCAAACCGTGGCACCCAATCAGTGTATGGAAACTGGTGCATGGATTTTCCAATAGGTAAAATGATAAAGAGTTCGGGCAGGTGTCAATGGAAGCTGCGCAATTACAAACATTTGGCGGAGGGCATTGTTGTGAACTCCACCAAGCTGCGCACCGCTGTCATCAGAGTTAGACAAAAAAGAGCGAACAAGCACATATTATTAGAGGAAAGAAGTAGTATAAGCAACGAGCTCCCAGACAACTCCGGCGTACCTCGTATGGCCAGGGCTGTGTTCTCATTGCCTCCCTGGGCCCTCTGCGTGCAATAATAGATCGCATTGTGTTTCTTTCGAAGGAGAACCGAGAGAAGTAGGGTTTAATAAAACCCGACGAAGGAGTTGCCAGGGCTGAAATGACGAGGGATGGCGCAAGCTTAACACACGATGAGGCCAGAGGTTCTAATTCCAACGTCACGTCAAATAACGGTAGTAGATGGGGTATCCGAGAGACTTACGATTCTCAATGCCTAGAACCCCCAAGTCTGTAGTTATGAAGAAGGTCACACCCAGTCATATCAGTGCGGCACATTCGTTGGTGGACGGGACTTCACAACAGCAGTGTCAGACCGGCCGTAAGACTTAATACACTTACACCTTCTGGCGGCGGCGGGACAGAGCAACGAGCAATTTTATGGACGTTAGCAAGCGTTGAGGGTGGTGGTGTTGTCTTTTGTTGAGAAAAGCTTGTGTTGCACTACAGCTTCGCTAAGATATGTTGAGTGCCGTCGCAGCCCGCAAAGCCTCTGCAAGACAGGCGAACGAGCGACCTGCCCAGTCAACGCCCCATCCGGCGTCGGTTCAAGCATTCGGAGAGTGGAGTCCTTCACGTCCCATTGAACTCGACTCAGAGCCCGAAGCACCCAGACCCGAACCAACCGTGATATCCAATTTTTTACCTGTTCTCGGCCAAAATACCTTCGCTGTCACTCATGATGATCTCTCTGCGATGGGGTTCCAGGGCGATGGGGGGATGGTCTTGGTTCTAAATGCCAATGAATTCGTCGCGCTCCTCGGTGTCTACCTCCTCGCTGTGCTCCAAGGTCGTGCAAAACTATGCGGCGTCGCGCTCGGTCCTTCGGCGACGCAACACCGAGTATTCGCACCAAGGTCGTCGCCTATACCCGTGATCTCGTGGACTTCTAAGGAAAGCCACTTGAAAACGTCGCAGCGACTGTTACCACCCAATGTTCACGCAAACCCAGACGCGACAGTCGTACTGATTCAGTACGCGAGCACAGGTGTGGAGGGTTTAGGTCGCATATGCAGAGTTTTTGAGAATGTCTTCAAACCACCTCGGGACGCCCCCGCAAGCTGAGATCGGAATCCCCGAACTACGTCTCGTAGGTGATCAACTTGTCACGCTGATCCCACTCATCTATCCTCCAAGGTATCTCACAGTACAAAGGATACGCTGCCTTTTATTCTCCCGCCCTCCTGGGAGGCTGGGCTCGCATATGTGGATCCTGCGTCTAATAGCAAGACCGACATTACTGTGACGCCACTCTGTGTGGTTAAAGGACCAAAGAAGTCTGGAAAAAGTACATTCTCTCGCACTCTGCTAAATCGACTCTTGAATCGGTCAGCTACTATTTAACGTCCTTGTTTTGTTTCTCATCCTGATCGATGTTCCCCGAAGTTATCGGCGCGTTGCATTCCTTGAGTGTGATGTTGGTCAATCTGAATTTACTCCTGGCGGCATGGTTGCTCTCACCATTATAGAGAGCCATGTTTTCGGTAGCGTCGCTCTCTCTGCTATCGAAGAATTTAGTTGAACACCCCGTTCAGGACCTCCCTTTACTCACCCAAGTTTACCCTACAGGGCGCAATACATTGGATCATCCACCCCTCGCGCAAATCCTTCTTATTATCTTTCTGCAATACAATCCCTTCTAGAGACATATAAACTAGAAGTGCACATCCCTGCACTCACTGACACTTCGTCATCTAGTGACGGTCGTGTCGAGGATGTCATCCCACTTGTAGTCAACACCATGGGCTGGACAAAGGGCCTCGGTGCCGACCTTAATGCACAGATTGAAGCACTAGCCGAGCCTTCCTACGTTTTCGAGATTGAAGGCTCGGAGGAATGGGGTTGGCCCGCCCGATCAGCCGAGCTGGTTGGGGACAATGCTTTCCCGCTTTGCACCCCCGCCAAGGATATTGTACGTGTACAACTGGAAGCTATACAGGCAGAGGCGACGAATATGCATGTATACTCGGCCGCCGACCATCGGAATATCAACATCCTGTCTTACTTCCATGCAGCCTTTCCACCCTTCATTACAGAACAGCAGCCGTCTGCCTCGGTTCCCTTCTCTGCTGTACCGTCTCCAGTCGCTCTGCGCCAGGTCTTGGCCAAATGCTGGGATGCTACACTTCCACTGTGTGCGCGGTACCCATTCGAAGTTTCTTGTCAGAGTGCATTTGACAGGGTGTACCTGGTGGGCTCCGGGTATGAGGACGTTATCCCTTCGGAATTGCCTGGTGTTCTCAATGGCGCAGTGGTAGGCCTTGCGGCGTACGATGAAAGCACGAAAGAGGCGGAGATAGAGCCAGTGGATCAAGGGGTTTCCTCGCTACCCTACTCTCCTGGTCAACCCCCACCCGATCCTTCAACGTCGAATTGTCTTGGTCTCGCACTCATACGTGGGGTTTTCTCTTCCAGTGATCCATCGCCGACGCCTTCACATTCATCGTTGACACATCTTCATGTCCTTACTCCACTTCCACCATCCGTTCTGAGACACGCACGCGTACTAGTCAAAGGCGAGCTTGAACTACCAATATGGGGCATGCTCGACTTCAGAGAGGGTGAGGAGGGGGGTGTAGCGGGCGTAGAGAAAGATCAGGTACCTTACCTGCAATGGGGGAAGGGTGAGGGATTGGGAAGCCAGAGAAGGCGGGTGAGGAGGAACTTGATGCGCAAGGCACAGATGTAAAAATCAGTGCATCAGTGTATCCGAAGGTGGGAGATAATTTATCTGAAAAGTACAAGTATGTCAGAATAAATCATTAGTCCCCGTTTTCCATCCAAAAGATTTGCAGAGAAACACATGGCTTCATAACGTTGGCGAGGAATTTCTACACCTACTAGTCGTCGTCGCGAGGAAGAGAGACACCCTCGTGTTCGGGTATTTGCCGGATCGCTTCTATCCTGGGACTGTGACAACTGGAATTGGAACACAAACATACAGTCCGAAAATGTCCGAGCTTGGGTTTACAATTAACCAGTCTTGGGGCACTCAGCTGGTTGCAAAATCTCACTACTCGAGCGAAGATGTAATCCCCATGGAACGTGCAGGTCCATCATACGACGGCAGCTACTCGAACACTATGACCAAATCCATACTTCTCTGGTCCAGGTACGCTTGCCAGAGCTTTCGGTATTTCGTAGCGCATCTCTCTTCATGTCCGTCCGCACGAAAGGCCTTTCTAACAGGGGCTAGTCGCGAAATACGGAGGATCTCACGAAGGTCCCTTGAAGAGTGCTGTTTAATCCGTCGAGCGGCTTGAGTGAGGGTCGGGTGCGGCTAGATGAAGAGGCTATGTGTAGCGAACAACGTTAATAAAAAGAAACCCTGCTTACCCGATCCGGGAATACCATTCTGTGCCATTTACAGTACGTCTTTGGTGATATGGTGAATGTCGCATCCGCCTCTTGGGAGTTCACGTTCCTCCCCGTTTCACGGTACACAGGGAGTAGACGGGGTATATAATATTCCACCAGCTGTGCACTGACACGCGAGCGCCCGTTCCTGGACCCTAACGCTATTTGCGCCTGGACTTGTGTGCCGCCGGAATAGAGTCTTTGCCTATACCGCTCCGCAAGCCGCCAGTATCGAGCTTCTGCATGGGACGTAGGGTACGCGTCAGACCCTGGACGTTTCGAATGTCCACCATGCCATAGGACAGGAAGCCGCATGGTAATACGGATGCGCAGACATGTCGCAGTGAGTGCACGTATAAGTGCCTGAAACAAAGTAGCCACTCGACCCGGGGTAGGATCCAACCTTGCAAGCCTCCTCCACCACGAGAGCGCCAGATCGGTAGCAAAGGTCGGCGGGCCAGCACATACAAGGGGAACGCTCGTAAAGAGCACGAACGCGGTAAGGATCGGCGCAGGAGGATGAAGATGCACCAGAGGCTGGGAAGTACGGCATGAGCACAGAATACACCGCGATCTCCTGACAACCACACGCACCTGGAGATGGAGGTGAAGCTTGCTTCCGACGAATGAATAGAGGGACATATCTAACTTTGCCCACCGGTAGGGTGAAGTAGAACAGGAAGCAGACGTAGGACGCTTATCAGGCAACAGAAACTCAGGAGGCCAAAACTAAGTGGGACGCGAAATTGACGACCGACTGCACGATAAGAAAGTTGAAGACGTCACCGAGCATCCGCAATCTTGACACATATTGTATATATGACGAGAACTGCCTCAGACTTGTGTTGGTCGTTGGGGGCATGGGGTTCGGTTCGGATCCAGAAAACTCGCTACAATGATGCGCTTGTGTTTCATGTGGTCCTGAAGAAGAAATTGTCTTGGTCAAACGCATCCAGACACGAGTTTTTAAGACCAACACGATGAAACAACGTGCTGGGGCCTGCTGGAGCTTGTTCATGGCAAGACGCTCGTGTCATACATTGTGCCATTGGAATACCCGGTCGTGTGCTTAAGGCGCTGGACGGCGTGCCGCAAGGTTTGACGGTGGGACCTGCGTCTGGACTCTGGTGGTGGGGCAAATTTGATGACATTCCGCTCCGTCAGCGCTTCAGCCACTCAGTGAGTCTGCTCAGCTCCACCACACCACTTCTTCAAGTGACGAAATTCTCCACAAGCACATGCTGAAGACCATCGGGTTTTTACATTGACATTTCATATTATTGACGCAAATGTTCTGGAAGTGATGCCCCCATGCCAGTTCTGTTGTACAGTGACTCACTGCTGATTCCAGGACACAGCGGAATGTGCTTTGCATTTCCAGGATGGCGGGAACCCATGGCGAAAGCCAGCATTCGGAAGCCACTATTGATGGCGATGGCCTCTATTGATTGTGGACGGCGGCGCATGATTGAATGTTTAGCAAACAGAAACTTGTTGGATGCATGAAATACAACTACACGATGACGGGGCATGTCTCACGAAACCAGCGATGCGGGTTCGGCAAGGGCTAGTGCCAAGTCACCTCTGCGAAACTAAAACATCGAGAGTCCTCCCCTCCACGGCTCTCTCGCAGGTAATAACCCTAACGGAACCGACACCGGGAATCAGACGTAACCAACAGGTGAACAAGTTTAATCACCGTTCACTTGTCAATCCGGCACAGGAACTTCAAGCAGTGCTTTCATGGTAGGTGCGGAAGTGATGCCGAATACTAGAGGCAAGTGTCTCAAAGAAGCTATGTGATAAGGAGGTTGTAAGTACTTGCCGGCACAACGCCAATCGGGAATGAAAGGTGATAAAACACTTGAGAAACCGTATAAGGCTCATTTCGTGTCACCCTCAGATTCTGGGTATGTCGGATGGCGGATGCGACGATGATGTGAGGAGATGTGCTTAGTATAGGGGATGTCTCCTCCACACCTTCCCCCTTTTCAGAGGTAAATCCTACCGGTTTCGGACGCCAACTACTCACTTCGATGCTTAAACCCATAGAATTGCCGGTATCAGCACTGGCATGATGGCATAAGTTATGCCTACGTAGAGCAGATTCTCATAGGGCCACGGGATAGGAAGCACCTACTGAAAATATTGCCCTGACGACGATGCAGACATCCCAATGACGCCTCCGAACAAATCAAATGCGTTAACATACGTATACGTACTGACTCTCCTTGCATGTTCAAGAATCCGCTACAACTTTCATTGCACGTTGCCTGCTATGCTCATTCATCGCAAGGCTACATATTACCTTGGTCACCATATGTCACTATTACTCCATCACGCCCGGATATCCCTGCAACCCCGAGCATGGCCAACTTTTGCGCCTGCTACCGTCCTTATCTGGCCAGGTTTCTTCCGTATAGCGGTTCTGTATCCTGTTGGATACCCCACCGCTCTCAGCTCTCCCTGGCATATCGAGTATTTCGGTCCGTAGACCAACCAGGCGATTTTAGGTAGGACGGCAGTGCGTACGCACTTCTGTCTAGATTGTGCACTATGCGCATACTGGCGGAGGATTTTCATGTCCGTCTCCACCACTTTTCACCTCTAAGGCAACCCCCCATTGCAATTGGGGTGCGACAGGCCCTCCCCTGTATACAAGGCAAATGGTATGCGTTATGAAGGTCCCTCGTCAAGTACTATCGGTTTCTTCCTTGCAGACGTATCTGATCATATCTGATCAAACAGGAAAACATAGGACCATCATCATCTTTGACTGTGAGCAAGCCATCGGTGTCGATCTCAGAACCAATGATGTGCACAAGCGTGTCATTGCTATATCCCAGGACTTCCAGAGAAGGATACACATTTGGTGTTTCGTTTTGTGGGGTACTTGTCGAACTAACGAGAATGTTACGTTTCTCCAAAGTTTACCGGTGCTTACTGATCTGCTGTGGATCCGTGTATATGCCAGCGTGGCGTGGACCACGATTCGTAAAGGTGGTGCAATCGGCGTTGGCCGTCTATTTGAAAGGGCGTGGAGGCTGTTAACTAGAAGTTATGCCATTGGAAGTCCAGAGAAGTGGAACATCTGCCAATGCACGTTCTTGATCTTCGCCAAAAATACCAACTTAATTGGAATTTCGTACAAGGGAGTGCGGAACAGCGAGAGGAGCGCAATAATCCTGCGACTTTGCAAATGACATTGATGATCCACGCGCTTACAGTTTTGGTAGAAATCCACGGTGAAGAAGCTCCTTTATGGTGTCTTGTCACCATGATCGTGATACTAGAATGTCATGGAAGTGTCTTCCTTATGGAAGGCTCGTATGCTCGGTTCCTCGACAAGGTTCACCAGTCCAATTTATTTGGGCACGTACACCCCCACATGTATGACCCCCTTCTGCCTACCACCTCATATAAAAGCAGCTCGTACTCTGATTTCTATCATCGATAGGTTTCACTTCAGGCACCTTCAACATGTCTGTTGTCCCTGGTCTCTATAGGATCACTACTCACCTCTCCCCTAACCCCGCCATTGGGGTTGACCCAAGAATTTTGTCGGCAATCAAGCCAGTAATTGTCGCACCTCCTGATTTTTCCCCTGAAGGCACAACAGTAAGTTAACATCTCCGTGTGTGGGTTTGAAGCTAATTATTCTGCAGTGGGAAGTAGTACAGGACGAAGATGGCCAGCTTTATCTTCTTCTTGTCCATAGTGCCAGGACTCGCCCAGAAGAGCAGAGAGTGTTTGCGTACTATGCACAACCGGGTGAGAGGTGGAAAATTGTCCACCACCCACTCCGCAGGGGGTATGCGTGAGTTGGCTGTCTTCATTCTCAAAGTGGCTGTGGATTATTGACGATTCCTCGTAGCATCCTGAGCCCGGACGAATCGCTCGCTTGGTATCTTCCCAACTCCGAATACCTCACCCAGGTGCTCCAAACATGATACCTCGATAATTATGACCATACACTAACTTCTGTTTCAGGTCGAGCTCAAGCCCATGGGGATCCTGCCTGGCGAAGGATACTACTTCAATTTGGAGAGGTTGGTCGAGTAAATGTGCCGGCCTAAGTCCAGGTCGAAATCTAGCTGTGATCGGTATGACATGTATTGACAAGATATATTAGTTGTTTCGTGTCCATAAATAAGCTGCGAAATGAGTTGTGCTGAGTCTTGAACTTCTACTGGGCGTGATCCCAGCTAATGTCATAGTGTCTGGCTCATGGCAGGTAATTGGTAACTATGGTCAGGACAGTGGCCCAGGAAGTGAAACTCCAAGTTGCATAAGTAGCAAAACAGTCAAGGGCGGTATTAAATACTCAGAGATCGTTTTTGCTTAGTTTCTACGGGTTAACGATATGATGAGCGGTACTTTCATGCCTTTCGGTGCTCTTGCAACTTGCCAACGCTGGCTCTGACAGTGAATTTCATTGGACCTAAATACTTCCGCAACCCCGCCGGCCTTTCGGAATCCGTTGCACATATTAGACGAATCATACATTTAGCATCCACAACGGCTCTCTATACCAGAAAATGCCACCGGAGGTTGAACGAAGGTGAACTCACCCTAAAGATTTTACTCAAGAATGCCAGCGATCTTTCCCTTCGTCACCCTCCGACTGACGAGTGCCAGGGAAAACTTTTTTACATCCAGCTGCAGATGCGTGTGATTAATATTGTCAGGAGGTCGTAGTCTATTCCGTGCTCATGCCGTACTATCTAGCTTTTCGTACATCTCCATTCCCCTGCGCCCATCCCTACCGCATTCATACTCCTTGTAAGCGTATGTTAGCCCACCAACCTTTGTCACGGGTCAGGCTTGCAAGGGAGAGTTTAATCGGTGCTGACCGTATCTGGGAGTTTCGCTTGTGCTAAAATCAATCAGCATTGGCGTAGGTTTCTAATTTCCGCCCTCGCATGTGTGAGATGCTCACTCACCTCACAGATACTGTGGTTCCCGGAAATTACCTGTTCTCGGTGGGAAGTGACGCAGGGGACTGACGAACTCTGTCTTCTGTATGGTTATGAAAGCAGTGAGTGCTTGTGTATGCGCTGAGAGTTCAGCGAGCTAATCAATCAGGTGAAGTAGTGCCGCAGTGCGACGATAATGTAATGACGCCCCAAGCTACAAATGCCGCGAGGCGAGTAGTACAGGGGCTCCTTCGGGAACTGATTTACACCCAATTCACCTAGAACCTAACCGTCTTTGTTCTTGTCAGAGTAAGCGTGATGGTGCGTTCTATCCTCGCAGGTGTACGCCTAGTAGTTCTAAGGGGTGTACGAACTCTGTCAGTTCGAATTCCTGAAAGGTGTGCTCGGCTTGGTGCTCCGTGGATGAACCTTTGTAGCAGGTCCTTTCTGACCAAGCAACATATTTTCTGGCGGTCTGGAAGAGTTGGAATCACCACAGAATGTTTCTCATTCTGGAGCCCTGGGGCGCTATCACGGTTACCCTCGTGACTTTGGCTCTCCGAAGCTATTAAAATAGTACGCCCACTTCTCTCAATCCGTTTCTCGCAGCAGGTTCCGTGCCTTCGTTTCCAATTGTGCGGCTGGCAGTCCAGAGAGCCGTCGTTGTAGTGGCACCCCTAGCAATGACTGGCGAGCTTAATTGGGATTTCGTCAAGTGGAGCAACAGGATCACCATAACCGGGTGAATCTGCAAATTTTATCGGTGTCTACACCACAACAAGTTTGGTAGCAGCCCACGGTGAAGGTTTCCTGTGTTGCACCCGCTGTTGCGCCTCTCGCCAGTTCTGCGTGGGGAGATACCCAAACGTCTACATGTGGTATGCCGCATCTCGCAGCGCCCTGCGACACAAGGCACAGACCTTTCACGCTTCATAATAAGATGTCCAAGAAGTATCTTTAGTGGATTCCAGGCCCATACGTCATACGTTCGGTTCTTCGACAAGGTTCACCCGAGCGGTACATACACCACACGTATGACCCCCTTCTCTCCATGGCCGCATATAAATACAGTTCGTACTCCTACTTCGGGCGTCACTTAAAGCATCTTTAACATGTCTGTTACATCTGGTCACTATAGGATCACCACTCACCTCGGCCCTAACCCAGCCGTTGGTGTTGACCCGAGAACTGAATCTGCAATCAAGAAAGTTATCGTTGTACCTCGAGAGATTCCGTCCCCAGGTACTAATGCAAGTTGGTTCAATTCATCTGTGGTTTGAAGCTAATCATTTTTCAGTGGGAAGTGAGACAGGAAGAAGGTCAGTTTTACCTCCTCGCTGTCGATAGTGCCAACGCTCGCCCGGAAGAAGACAAAGTGTATGCGTATTATGGGCAACCGGGTGTGAAGTGGAAAATTGTCCACCACCCACTCCGCAGGGGGTACACGTAATTTGATCGTCTTAACTCTCGAAGTGACTGTGGTTTATTGATGATTCACTGTAGGATCCTGAGCCCGGAAGATGAAGCACTCGCTTGGTATCTTCCTAACTCCGAATATAACACTCAGGTGCCCCAAGCTTAACCCATTCAATATTTATGAACTCACACTGACCTCTGCTTCAGGTCGAGCTCAAGCGCCTAGGCCTCATCATTGGCGAAGGATACTACTTCAATTTGGAGATGCTAGTCGAGGACTAGCAAGTCTGAGACGACATCTAGGTATGATTAATATGTGTTTGAGGGAAGTGTTGGTTGTATTGTTACACTGTAAACGGGCTGTGAAATGAATTGTACTGTATCTTGAACTCTACGTGACAGGAAAGAGCGATCCTGCGGTTGGTATATAATCGGCCGGGAAGTTGGTCCGGGAAGGTGAAGTTACGGAGTAGTTGGACGACCAAGAATTGCACGCACAAATACTATGGCCTCGGCGGATTCCAGTTATCGTTTGGTTTCCTGCAGGCTAGACCAAAGACTGGATAAGGAGTCGTTCCGGCGGTGGTCTTGTCACTTCCCAACGCTCCCTCGCTCAAACAGTTTTATTTCCGTTGACGGGTCTGCGTAAACGAGTCACAAAATTCGGTAGCCTAGTGTGTATACGATGCTGGTGCAGGACCCGACGTTACACCTGGCATAGGACGCATATGTCCAATTGTCTTGCTCGGGCGACTACATATTACTGATTGCCTCATCCTTCAGTTTGAGTACCCCTATGTTCAGGAACCAGATACAGCCAAGGCTTTCATCGCACGCCGTTGCACTTATATCCCTACCAGGACACAGGACCCTCACTCGTTCTGCATCGCGATCCCTTGGGTGCTCCAGTCCACACCGATCTCTTATCGCCTTCGGAATCATAACTGGTCTCCATTATCCGGGACGTCCTTGCAACTGCACAAATTCCCCGAGAAGGATCGGCTTCTGAGCGTTGCCGTCTCGGACTCTCGGCTTCAGGCTTGTTTACATGTCCATATGCTTGGTCCTGCCCCCTGATGGTTTAGGGTGCACTTGAATAATCGCTCTTTGTCCAGATGAGCAGCAAGCGATACTCACAACTGACCCATCCCGAAGTTCAGCGTATATACCCACCAAACCCAATGCTCATATTCGCCCACTGGCGTCCTCATGATCACATTTTCAATATATTGTAGAAGGTCTGCTCGAACTTGGGTTCTGTGGCTAGTGACCTTGCGCATTCACGATCATCTGGACCTGCCTCGCAGCCTTCGAGAAATGTCATGGATTCCCCTCAGCCGGTTCTCCATTCCTCACACAAAATAACTTAAGACATTAAATGTCCCTGATGGTGATTGGGGTACCCAAACTTCTGGGGAACAGAACTCGTTGGGTTGATGTTTCGTCAGATGACCTTGATGGTCACTTCTAGGGCATGTTCGCCGTATGGGGGTCTTATCACCCGAAGGTCAACCTCCTCAATAGTCTACCTCCAGATTTCTATGGTTGTCATAATTCGACTCCTCGATAGTTTTGGAAACTTTGTGGCGCCACCAACTCCATCATCCGATTTTCGATTGCATCGGATGCAGCCTTTCCCAGTTACATACAGTAGGCTACGCCCAGAGTGGTGTTCGTGATGCTACGCGTCCGATTGTATCACCATGGCGTTGCGGTGTCGCTGTCGCACTGCCGCTACTCAGGACTCAGATGTGGGGGTGATCTTGTTGCGCAGGTCACCGATACCGAATCCAGACGAGTCGTATTACCAGTCCCAAACCAACCACTACTTTCCGATAGCGACATCAGAGTCCTATACAATCACCAGGAAGAAGTTGAAGTCATATAATAAATGGATCGTTACAGGTCGTTACATCATTACAAAACAGTATTGCGTGCGTCGGAAGGATAGCACGGAGATCTATACGGTCTGGAATGCCATAAATCTAGATAACGTAAGCCTAGCTGAACCAGGTCCATTGCAGAACCGGGCATAAACGACAAAAGAGAGAAAATATAAAACCTTTACGCCGTAGGGAAGGGTTAAGCTCCAGGAACTTCAAACAACAAGCATTTGTTGCTATAGTGTTTCGTGATTGCATTTCTCACTTCGTCTCGCAGAGCCGAGCGAACAATGAGTCCTCCACAAACATAGCAGAGGTGAGTATTGCATCCAGGGACGATACACTAAATGAAAATAATTAGATTATATGTGCGACACTACAAATCCCAAGAGCCCACCATCAGGTGATTGCACCCAGAAACCTTCTGAATTGGCGTTTTACAACCTAGGATACTCAGTTCAAGCGTGTGTAGGTGTAGTTGAAGAAGGTTGGCAGACATACTCGGGCAGTAGCGCCAGCCTTTGCGCTTCACCAAAGAGTCTAGCTCAGCAGACCCATCGCATGAATGTTTCGGACCACCGATAATAACCGTCTGTTGACAATCCTTGCACCAGACATGGTTGCAATGACGGACGGGACAGACAATATTCTGCATGGCATCATAGTCTTGCCGATCCACGAACGCTGACTGCTTGCACCTGAAAATCGGACAGTCAAGAACAGATGTGCGAGTACGCCATTGAAGGTACCCTACATCCGACAGTGTAACAACACAGAAAACTGGGCCATTTCCATCTCGACCCACACACGATAATGTTCTTCTGTGACACCAATCTGTTCAACGAGCGAACGCGTTATCGCTGAAAGTGAATCAGAAAAAGCCACACGTATTAGTTCCTGATATCGTAAACAAACGTACGTGCAGGTTCTTGGCGTCCTCCAGAGGCTACACAGATAGGGCAGGAGATGGGAAAACGGTGTTCCTCTATCTTCGTACAAATGAAGTCCCTCAGGCAATTTCTGCATATCATATGTGCACAACATTCTACTTGAGCGACGTTATCCTTGGAAACGTCATCCAAACAAATACCGCATCGAAAGATATACTGAACGTTGTGGTACGGGGCCGGCGGAAGTCGACGGGATTGCTTGTCCTCGTTATCCAGGATGTTCTTCAATTTCAAGGCGCGCTCTATCTCTTCGCTCAAATCTTCTGATGTTCGCATCCTCGGAGACATTGGTTGCATCCGAGGGCTCTGCGGGATGTCACCGACATTGTTACGCGAATCCTTGGGTTTCACACAGCGCTTGATATATGGTAGTCGCGGTGAGCCAATGGCGTTGGATGCCTGCGAGGTGACCGAACTGAAGCGCCGCTCCTGTTCAGCCAATTCCCTGGCGCGTGCGACAGCCTGTTCGGCTTTGAGCCTCTCCTTTCTTATGACCTCAACTTGTGCTTCCAGGCGCTGGATTTCCGGAGTTAAAGTTATTGTTTGTCGCTTGAGCTCGACAACCTCGGCTCGCAAGGCCTGTGGAGGCGCAGTTGACGCTCTTTGAGGTTCCAGCCGCTGCTTCTTGGGCACAAATATGTGTCCCGTAGCAAGTAGTTGGGGTTGGAAAGCGCATGTCACTGAAGGCATGTATTCATCGGTACGCAGGATACGACTGAGAGTCAGTGCAGTTTGAGTCATTGAGGTACTGAAGATGAGGGCGGCGCCGTGCGGGTGAGAGCGGCGCGGTTGCGGGTCGAACACCACGAAAACGGTTTTATCGGAAAGGCGGTCTTGAATCTTAAAACAACCTATAGCCTCGGGGGAACAGCTGAAGATCACAGCAGCACAAGACTGAAGAGCTTGCAGCTCCCTGGATGAGAAGGTGGGCTTTGGTAGTAGTTCAAACAGGGTAGAAAAGAAACATACTGTAGGACCTGTTTGAAGTGGTCGGGCCTGGGAAGCTCGTACTTTGTAGAGACTGGTTTAAGGGATTTGTCAAAGAGAGGCGCTCGGCATATGTCTTCGACATCCAGTTGAATATCGCTCGACCACCCAGCGCGGATGGACACGACTTCCTGTATAGAAGGTTGCTAAGTGAGCGAACAGTTGCGACAAGGACTAAGGTAATGCCGTCTCCAACTAATAACACCGACCCATCGTACGAGCCCGATGATGTTTCAACCCCCGGGGTTCCGACTTACCTCCATCGACTGTCGGCTACCTAACGAGGCAAGCACAGCGGCGATGTTGCCATGGTGGCGTTCTGCCAGGTAAAACGCAACTCTGGCGAAATTCAGGGATGCGAGACTGCATGCCGAGATGTCCCCCGAGGTGAGCTGGGGAATACCAGAAAACGAGACGATGCGATCTCTTCCAAGAAGGACATCTGAAGCGAGGGAATCTGTACAGGACACCGAGCATTCGTCAAAAAGCTTCACCATCTTGCGCTGTGGTGACTGTATAGGGTTAAAGACCGGCTCAGTCAGCTTTTGGGGCTGACGTAGACCTGCCAAGGGTTCGGATGGAGGTTCCGTGTGAGACGCAGGACTTTGACGGAAGCCAGCCCGGAAAGCCCTCAAACGGTCGAATTTGGGAAAGGAAGGTGCCATGATACGCAGTTACCAGCTGTGTAAAATTCTCTTGTTCAGTGTGAAACGTCAGCAGCCTGCCAGGAAGAGATAAACAGGCATGGTGACATACTTAACGTACGTCAAATCGTCAGCCCTGTGGGGGGGAGAGAAAACCGTCCAAGCGGTAGTAGGGAGAGAGCGACACGAGTAAGCAATGAGGTGGCCCATGGTCTTGAGGGAGAAGCATGTGTGTGTGGAATGCTGAGAGCCTCATGGGGACTAATATTAGCCCCTGAATGATACTGCATTGCAAATTTGTGGTCCCAAATGACCTCCGCAGGAGGTTCCAGGGACGGTCCTATCAATCGTCAAAACAAATCGCAGCCCGCTGATTCCCTTAAAAAATCGATTCCACAGGTAGTCCGTGTCCTGCGCAGTGCTCAGCGTTGTCAACGCCTGCGGCCGCACGTCGCAGCATTGTTTATGTTTGTTTTGATTACATAAGCGCAGTGTTCATCGCCTCTCTGGGTTTGAACTGGTCAAATACTCCGACGACTTTTGATTTGCATTCCTTCTGATTCTCACCTTCCAACGACACAACTAACGACCTTAGCAAGATCTCTTTTGACACACTGCCATGGAGGAAGAAGTAGCGGCCCTTGTATGATATGGTCTATTGTCGCGTATGCATTGCCATCCTCATTTGCCATATTTCTAGGTCATCGATAACGGTTCCGGCATGTGCAAGGCTGGCTGTAAGTCTCTCCCAGATCCTTTGTCTTCCGTCTTACTGATCAGGGTGTTATTCTAGTCGCTGGTACGAATACGATGTCTGCGAGCGTGCCAAGTTCTCTGATCCACTTTCCTTCGCAGGTGACGATGCACCTCGTGCTGTGTTCCCGTAAGTCACAGCTTCACTCCATCTTGTGATCCTCTCTCATCGGAGCGCGATCAGCTCAATTGTCGGTCGCCCCCGCCACCAGGGTGTGATGGTCGGCATGGGCCAGAAGGATTCCTACGTTGGGTACTTTAATCCGCTAGTGATAATGGGCCTACCGCTGACGTTCTCAGTGATGAGGCTCAATCGAAACGTGGTATTCTTACTTTGAAATACCCTATCGAGCATGGTATCGTAACGAACTGGGACGACATGGAGAAGATCTGGCATCATACGTTCTACAACGAACTGCGTGTCGCTCCAGAAGAGCATCCCGTCTTACTCACGGAGGCCCCCCTTAACCCCAAGGCCAACCGCGAAAAGATGACCCAAATCATGTTCGAGACGTTTAATGCGCCTGCATTCTACGTCGCCATTCAAGCAGTTTTGTCGTTGTACGCATCCGGTCGTACCACCGGTATCGTAATGGACTCTGGTGACGGTGTCACGCACACGGTTCCCATCTACGAGGGTTTCGCTCTTCCCCATGCCATATTGCGTCTGGATCTAGCTGGCCGTGATTTGACGGATTTCTTGATCAAGAACTTGATCGAACGTGGCTATTCGTTCACAACCACTGCGGAGCGTGAAATTGTTCGGGATATCAAGGAGAAGCTCTGTTACGTCGCTCTCGATTTCGAACAGGAGTTGCAGACGGCCGCTCAATCATCTATCCTCGAGAAGAATTACGAACTCCCTGACGGCCAGGTGATTACGATCGGTAATGAGCGGTAAGTAGGTTTCAGTAAGCATAAATGACGTCATCTAAACAAAGTGCAAGCTTCCGTGCACCAGAAGCCCTCTTCCAGCCTGCATTCCTTGGTCTTGAGGCTGCTGGTATCCATGAGACTACGTAAGTTTGGTGTACTTTCATCGGGCAATGCCTCTTATCGTCTTTCAGGTACAACTCTATCTACAAGTGCGATCTCGATATCCGTCGCGACCTCTACGGGAACGTTGTCCTGTCGGGTGGTACGACAATGTTCCCTGGTATTTCTGACCGTATGCAGAAGGAGCTGGCTTCGCTTGCACCTTCCAGTATGAAGGTTTGTGTACATTACAGATATTCGCAGTATGCGTTCTGAGAGCATTGTGTTATAGGTCAAGATCGTCGCTCCCCCTGAGCGCAAATACTCGGTCTGGATCGGAGGGTCCATCCTTGCCTCCCTTAGCACCTTCCAGAACTTGTGGTGCTCGAAGCAGGAATACGACGAGTCTGGTCCAGGTATCGTTCACCGCAGTACGTATCCCTTTCTCCCTGGCGGGGAGTTGAGATGTAAACCTGACGGGTATCTTCACCTCACCAGAGTGCTTCTAAGCGTGCGTAGACGTCGCAGTGGTCAAAGGAAAAGTATTGTTGCAATAGTAGATTGCCGTCGACGTGGGTTTTCTTTCCGTATCCCTTCAGTTTTGAGGGTGGTTCGGCCGGCCATTATGATACGATTTGATCCTTTATATCACCTACACACTCTTACCGCCAATTGAAGATCTTTTTGCAAGTGCCGACCTCTCGATAGAGCGGTGCCGTCGTCGATATGGTGGAAGTGGGCATCTGATTGCAACAGATATTGTGAAGAAAGCTTGCCCCATCTCGGCGTGCGCACAGGTCTGATAATCAGGGCACTGCCTTGAGTTGTACCGAGCTTCCGAATCAGCATTGCGAATGGGTGGACTTATGCCTGTAATTCAGACACGGGGTTCCGCCAACTTCTTTCGGAGTCAATATTTGGGAGATGTCCAACAACTTAGAATCGCATCATCCTATGGAATGTTCTAGGATATGTACAAGCACAGGCCTGCGATGTGGGGCGTGACTATCATTATCATAGTGGACTAACTATAAAATCCACTGCGCAGTCCTCCGCATCTACATACTAGGCGCGACAGTGCAGCTCATGGCCTTCGAAAGTTGACCGTATGCAAGGCAAGGAGTACTCGGCAACCATTGAAACACCTGCAGCACGAGTATGGCTTAGAAGCGCGTTATTCCATGATTGATCCTGTCACCTCTTTGATAATGACTTACAGCAAGCAACGTAACGAGAGACCAAATCCAAACAAAAAGAAGTGTAAGGCCTTCGCAACCATCGGAGCTTGCACAGTAGAAGTATGGCTTAGAGGTGCGTTACTCCATGATTGATGCTGCCAAGGCCCTCTTTGAGCGTTGCCCGCGTTTCCTAGTGCGCTGTGGCACTAGTAGCCTAGTACAAAATCAAGACCTGGGGAGGGCTGTGGCAGGGCGCTCTAGGTTGCGCCCAGCTAAAATTGTTATGGTGGCGCATGAGGTACTGTCCGACGACAGTCCTGCTGCTTGTGACACGATTCTCAAGAACATAGCTACTGGTCCGTGTTTGCGCACGCCCCGATCTCACTGGGTCGGGTACTAAAGCGGAAACAGGGAAAACCGTTATCGATCATCTACTGCGATCAGAAAGGTGAATTTGCGCGCCGATGGAGACCCAAGTCAATTGATTCGCACTGTTTATGGGCGGTCCGAATTGGAATTACATAACTGCATGTTGCCAGTCCGGGGTACCAGGATGACCATGCATTTAGGTCTGGTTCCAAGACGACTATAAAAATGGCATCTGCGTTTGTCTGCTTCTGCTCCTCGTAAAGGTGACCAACCATGGTAGGGATTCCACCGGGCTTCATCTACATTGCACATCGACTCCCTCGCCTAGTCAGTCCTCTGGCTCTTGTTTATGCTGGCTCCAGGATCTGGGCAATCGTCTTCGAGAATGCAGCCCCCCTCTGGCTGAGGCGCTCTGCGTATATATTCTCCATCCCCATCGCAATGGCATGTGGGATCATCTACACCTACCTTCGTGACAGGAGGGAGGCAGCACTTCGAGGCGCTGTCCTTGCCTCACAAGTGAAGAGTACGTGGCCTGGTGGTCTCGACATCCTTCTCTCAGTTGCTCGGGGTTTTGGTGACGGGCATATCGGTATGCGTACTACGGTGTTTCCCGTTATGGTGCTTTTTTGACTGATTCATTTTAGGATCACCGTTTGACCAATACAGTCAGGAATATGGCCCAACTGTCAATGTTAGGTTCATGTTCGAGGACCAGGTTAGACCTTGTCGCAGTTTAGTAATATCTGTTTGACTCCTGAGATAATGGACAGATTTTCACGACGGAACCCGAACATATCAAAGTATGACTCTTTGTCGTCATTTCACCCATCATACTGACTAGTTGCCATTAGGCAGTTCTTTCTACGCAGTTCAATTCCTTTGAAAAAGGTGGGTTTCCTGCGACGTTGGATAAAGTGCCATGTTTTTTATAACAGTCTCAGGCCCGGTGTTCTGGGACCAAGTAAGTGCTCTACTTGGAACTGGAGTATTCAACTCGGACGGTACACTTTTCCCGTATTCTGCCACCCTGCACCGGCTAACGCTTTTGCTCTTTTGGATGCAGGTGAAATATGGAAGTAAGCATGCTGGTTCCTTGGCACAGATTATCTCATGCTCACACATATCATGATCTAGGTTCCATCGCTCGATGACGCGACCGTTCTTTAGCAAGGATCGGATTAGTCACTTCGATATATTCGAAAAGCACGCAGATGACGCTCTGAACCAAGCGAAATCCAGATTCCAAGAGGGTTACCTGGTGGATTTCCAGGTACTTCACACCGCAACTTGGGGGCTCCTATACTGATGTTATTATTACAAGGACATGGTGGGCCGATTCACCCTTGACTCGGCAACTGAGTTTTTGTTCGGGAAGAATGCTGGCTCACTTTCTGCTGGACTAGTCTATCCCAAAAATTCGTTACCAGGGCAAAACAATGAATATGAAAACCATCCGTCCAACGTTTTTGCCCGTGCGTTCTCGCAAGCACAATCGCAAGCCGCGTTCAGGGGTCGTTTCGGATCGTTTTGGCGCTTGGCCGAGTTCTGGAGTGATCGCATTCAGAAGGAAATGGATGTCTGCCATAAATTGATCAATCCTGTCCTCAAGGACGCTTTGGAAATGAAAGGCAAGCGATCTACAGGACAGGGGGGCACGGAGGAGAAAGGGGCCCTTGAGGATACATTGCTTGAACATCTCGTTAGCTGCACTGAAGGCAAGTGGTTTATTTATACTTCCCTTGAATCTGCACTCAGCAATCTCTCACAGACCACACTGTCATTAGGGATGAGATCGTGAACATCTTAATAGCGGGGCGTGATACCGTACGTTGCCTGGCTTGTCTTCACTTTTGATGCTCAATCCAAACTATGTCAGACGGCGGCTACCTTGACATTCCTGGTTTACATGCTTTCCCAACACCCGGATGTTCTGAAGCGACTTCGTGCAGAAGTTCTTAGTAAGGTTGGGAGTTCGAGAAGGCCGACCTACGATGACGTGCGGGACATGAAGTACATGCGAGCTGTCATCAATGGTACGTTATCTCCTCGCCTTGTGTGGAACAGTCGTCATATGTCAATGTGCAGAAACTCTTCGATTGTATCCCCCCGTGTAAGTTATCCGCTGGCCTTATGATTTCTATCGTTTGATCACATCTTGTTCAGCCCTTTCAACGTTAGGTTAGATTTAACTTCCAACACAAAGGTTTCGATGGCACGCACCTGATATCTTTCTATTTTGTAGGACGAGCACAGAAGCGGCGGTATGGGCCGGCGTGAATGGAGGTCCGCTCATTTATATCCCACCAAAGACGCGGTGGGTGGTGCACGCAACCGCGCATGTATAATGTACTGACATACAACAGGATCCCGTATTCTGTATTCCTTATGCATCGTCGGAAAGATCTCTGGGGTCCCGATGGTGGGCTAGCCGCCTTTGCCACTGGGCAGTAACTGAGATTGATTGACTGGCAGCTGAGATGTTCGATCCGGACCGATTTCTCGATGAACGATTGAAGTATCTAACATCGAATCCGTTCATCTTCCTCCCATTCAATGCAGGACCCAGAATTTGTCTAGGTCAACAAGTGGGTCTCCTGTTTAGTGATAACATTGGTGATGCCGATTGGAGTCTGCAGTTTGCATACAACGAGATGTCGTTTTTCCTCGTTCGTCTATTGCAAACTTTCTCTTCCATAACGTTGGCAGAAGACGCCCAGACTCGACCACCTGCAGAATGGGGCAAAGGAATAGGACGCAACTCACAGGAAAAAGTGATAATCAAATCTCACCTGACCTTGTATGTGAACGTGAGTACTGGTAATCTCGGCTTCACATATCAAAGGAAATTCAAAATTGCGGGTTCTAGGGGGGTCTGTGGGTACGGATGGGGGAAGCTGGCGATGATGATAATATGTGATGCCAGATTAAGAATATGCAGAGTACCAATATCGACATGATAGTCAACGTTTTTGTAGTACAAGCCAGTGGTCGTCTTACAGCGACCTTCGTATCGATAGACCAGAATTGACCAAAACTCAAAAGAGTGCCTTTATTTAGTTTTGGAATGTAGCCAAACAAATGCTGGATCATGTGCCCGATGATTACTACAATGAGTAGGAGAAGCAGATGCTGTACCTGGAGTGCTGTGGTGCTGCGGGTCAGTTTCAAGTGCCCAACTCCTTGCTGTTGCCAAAATCCACCATTAGTGGTGCTCAATATGGCTTTGGAAGTGCTCTGGAATCGCACTCTGACAGGCCACTGCTGCTATAAAATTTGACTCTGATGTGCCATGCCCTGTGGCACTGCTTGACTAGCAATACATGGTAGTTACTTATCCTGGAAGATACATGTCAAATAACATATCAAACTTGTATTAATGCATTGTACATGATTGATAAACATCTACCCATCATCCAAGAGCTACCAGATGCCCCAGAAATCTGTCCACCAAGATCTGCTCAAACAGCTGGATGAGACTAGCCTTCATGTTGTGATAGCAAGGCTTGAAAATGCATGATGTGGAGTTGATGGTAGCAGCTCAGAATCTATGTCAATGTTGCTGAGTTCAGGCTCCAGCTCCCCCACAACTCTCTTCTTCATCACTCTGCCATCACCAGTCACTCCGATCCTGTCAGATTTTGAATCCAGTGCCTCCGATGACACAGACTCCACAGCTGAGTGTGATGGGCATTATGCTCAGCTGCTAAACACGATCACAGCTCTCAGAGATGAAGTAGAGCATGCACGTATCCTTGAGAGACCTGAGATGCCAATGATGCAGGCATCTCAGCTGTGCCTCCTCAAACATTTTGTGGATCATCAGCCCCACCTGTTTCAAAAGTGCCTTTGTGTAGACCCACCAATTTTTGATCACATTCTGGATCAGATTAGTGGACATGTGATATTCCAAAGCAATTCTGAAAACCATCAGCTGGCAGTTGCAGTCCAGTTGGCAATCTTCCTTTTCCATGCAGGGCATTATGGAAATGCGGTGTCACCTGAGGATGTAGCGCAGTGGGCTGGTGTTAGCATTGGCTCAGTTGTCAATTGTATGAACTGTGTGATGGTAGCTATACTGGATGAGCATGATAGATTCATCAATATTCCATCTGAAGACTCACAGGAGATGGAAAGAGCGTGGGTTTTCACTGAGTCATGCACCTGTTCAGCCTGGAGGAATGGCATGTTCGCTACTGATGGTTCAAGTATTCCCCTCTTTGAGAAACCACATATCTTCGGGGAAATGTTCTATGATAGAAAATCTAGGTACTCGTTGAACTGCCAGGTGTGTACTCAAATGCTGAGTGTGAACAGCAGAAGAAACTTACCAAGATAGCTTATTGTTTTGCCACACAATCTTCTTGTTGTGGACTACAGACTTGGACATCTGGGAAGCATCCATGATGTGTGGGCCTTCCAGGGGACTCACATCACTTCAAACCCTATGCAGTTGATTCCACATGATCATTGGACGTGGGCAGACAGTGCATACCCATCAGAGATGTGGTGTGTTGTCCCCTTCAAAAAACCTAAAGGTGGGAGATTATCTCAAGATCAGAATGTGTATAACAAGTACCTTTCAAAGGTATGCACCTAGTTTTGCCACAGTACATGGGCTGACAGCTTTGGAAGATCCACATATGAGTTGAACACACATTTGCTGCCTTGAAAGGGCACTTTCAAAGCCTCTGTGAAGTGTGCCTGAAAATCCAGACAGAGAAAGATATGAAAGTCACAATTTACTGGGTGCTTTGTTGCATCATCCTACACAACATGATCATCTGGTTTGAGGAGGAAATGGATGATATGATTGAGCATTCAACTGACTGGGTGGTCAACAAAGGAAGTGGCCTTGATGATGGGGATGGAATTGCTGCAGTGGAGGCTGTGGAGACTACTGGTCAGTGATTTCAAGCAAAGCTATTGGATCAGTTGTTTCAACATCTTGGATGGGAACGAATCCATTAATGGTGGTTGTGGGAGACAGTAGTATTAGCAAGATGAAAAAAATACATTCACCATATGTACATCTTGTGAGAGAATAGCAGAAACATGAATATGATGTGAGTACATAGTGGGAATGCACTGGAGATGGATACAGTGGGGAAGGGTGGGTAAAAACTTGGCCATGACAAGATAAACCTATGCAGTGGGAGGGGTTGCGTCCAAATTGGCCTTCATGAGTTTTGCAAGCTCAATTTTGAGGCGAAGCATCTCTGCCTCACTGTTGAAGGTGATTTCCTGGGCCTTCATCAGCTGGATGTTGAGTTTCTTCACCTCAAACTCCAATTCCATCTTAGTCACCATTTTCGGCTGCTCTTTCATCAATTCCTCCTTCCTACAAAGATATTCCATCTTGATCATATAGCATTTAGTCTTCCCAGAAGAAGAAGAAGAAGCCACTAGCAACTCAGCTTTGTGACTCAAGTCAATGACCTGGTCTTGAAGCTGAGACTTGCCATGTTTAGTTAGTGTTGAACTTGGCTTCGTCAAACTTGTCTTTGATGATGAGTCCCAGAAGGAGGAGGGTGAAGATATGGCAAAGACCAAGAGAAGGCAATTCAGCTATCTGATGAGGGCATATGACCCCTTCACAGGAGGGAGAACCTAGAGGGGAAATGAGTGTCACTTGGCATTGAAGGCCATTGTAACTAGCAATAACTTATCAGTAAAATTTCATTAACTGTTGCTCTGAATGAACATGAACATACCTCATCACCCTACACAGATGCAGAGTCCATGTTGACATTGGGGTACTCATCACCACCAGTCTGCTCATCCCCAAACCCCAGCATTGCCTCATCAAACCCAGCTCCACCATCTTCTTTGCCCTCATTAGTGACTTCACCACCAGCTTGAGATGGCACATCCTCCTTGGCTTCCTCAAGTTCCCCCACTGTCCCCCCCACACCCATGCAATCACCTGCAATCTCAGCCCCAGAACCCAAAATGTTCTTCATACCAAGTGTCTTGTTTTGGATAACCACTAAGAAGCCCTCTGCATGGTTTTTGTTTGGCTCAGAGTTGAAGGGCTTGGGATTGAACAATGGGTTCCCCTGCCAAATGGAATGTAAGTCATCATACCAAGGAAAACTGTTGAGAATGACATCTGTATGTACACATAAGCCCCTGCATTCTTGTACATTGGTCATGTAATATACCATGAAGGTTGGCAAATTTTGGATGGCCAGGTATGATGCCTTCCCCTGACTGTTTGAATTGTGCACAGCACTTTCAATAGCTTGCTTTCAGCCTAGATGATCATTAGTGAATCCTGGGTTTATCAGATGATCAGAGACTCACATATTGAGATGGTTGCCCACACTGACTTGAAACTTGGCAGCACTCACTGTGTACATGTCCTTGTAGACACTGTCATCCTTGAAAATGGCTTGGGCGATCATCACTTGGACCTCCTTCTTGTTGTGGCCCACTGGTCTCTCAGTCGAAGTAGATGATAATGATGGGGGTAAGTCACCTGAGTTTTTGTCACTGAAAAGAATCCTGCAGTTAGCAGGATGGCTAAGAAGCCACTGGACAAGTATTTCAGTATGAGGAGTATCCCAATTGATGTTTTTCAGCTGGGTACTTTCCATTGAGGAGTCAGCCACTGGCTGCTTGTTGGATGCTGGGCCCTTCCCTTTACTCCCTCTCCCAGGTACTTGTGAGGATGATCCACCACCAGTAGTCACAGCTACAGAAGGCCTTCCTCAACAAGCTTGTCCACTCAATGAAGCCATGGGTTTTGATAAGAGTGACTGCAGGTGAGCAGACCATTGAGGGTGTTGTCAATAGGGAGGCATAATTTTCAAACTCCATCATGGCATTGCTCTCAAATTTGCCACTTCCAGAGCACTTCCAAAGCCACCTTGAGCACCACTATTGATTGGCACCTGGTCCTTCACTGCATCAGAGATATGGAATCAGTTTCTAGACACATTGGGTACCACCAACTAATGAGGGGGGTTGAAGTGCATGCACACACCACTACCATCTGTTAATATATTGGTAGACAGCAGCAGAGTGCCCCAGCAATATGAACAAGAGATAGTGTGTGCCATTATTTGGCTACATTCCAAAACTAAATAAAAGCACTCTTTTGAGTTTTGGTCAATTCTGATCTATTGATACAAAGGCCACTGTAACAAATTAAACTATGAGTTTAACCATGGATTTTCTGAGATTTTGAGCTGCTTTTAATGATGAACAGAATGTGAATGCTATACTTGAATAGTTTATCATTTGATGAATGACCAGATTCAAGCATAAGTGCACCCTACCATCAAGTAGGGTTCACATATGTATAAGGGTGCATTTATGCTTGAATCTGGTCATTCATCAAATGATAAACTACATTTCAAGCATAGCATTCACATTCTGTTCATCATTAAAAGTGGCCCATAATCTCAGAAAATCTGTTGTGAGAGTCAGATCTGGGAGAGGCTGTAGAATCTCCCAAGTGCTGCAGTGACCCTGGATGGATGCTACTGTTAACCACAGCAGGGACCTGCATTAGTCAATAATTGATCCAGCCACTTTTTTCGATGATGAACTGGCCTAAGCCTGAGATTGTGGGTGAAAATTCACCGCCATACTCGCACTTACTGACTTAGACTCACTTACTCATGTCCAGTTTCCACGTGTGTGTGTGTGTGTGTGTGTGTCAGTAAACCATTAGGATCATCTATGATCTGACGAGCACTCCAGATATCAGATAAGATAATATGCTGCAATGTCGATATTCCTTGCGTACCGATGAGATCCAAGTCAGTTAAGACGCCAGAGGCCACTAGTAGATCAGCTAAAGTGGACTGACTGTTGTGTCACAGGGGAAACGCAGGGTTGCAATGAGGAGTTGGCGTGTCAAGCATCGTGTGAGAGACGATCCGAATTAGAATTGCATAACATCATGTTGCCTGAACTTTGACAAATCTGACAGGCCAGTTGGTAACCCGATATATGGAAAAATTGGGGGTTGCCACCTTCTGCTCCTCATGACGATCAACCATGGTGAAGGTCCCTCCGGGTTTTATCTACATTGCACGTCGACTTCATCGTCTGGTCCGCCCTCTAGTTCTCGTCTATGCTAGCTCTAAGATTTGGGCAATCGTCTTCGACAAACCACTCCCTCGCTGGCTGAGGGTCTCCGCGTATCTATTTTCCATCCCCATAGCAATGGCATGCAGCGTCCTCTACGCCGACCTACGTGATAGGAGGGAAGCAGCACTTCGAGGTTCTGTCCTTGTCCCGCGAGTGCAGAGTAGGTGGCCTGGTGGCTTCCACATCCTTCTCTCACTCGCTCGGGCCTTTCGGAAGGGGCACATTGGTATGTGCAGCACGGTTTCTCCCGATTCCCTTTATGGTTCTTCTTGGCTGACGAAGTACGAGCGTGCCAGGAGAGCCGTTTGACCGGTACTGTCAAGAGTATGGCCCCGCTGTCAATGTTAGGTTCATGTTCGAGAACCGGGTTAGATTTCCTCGTAGTTAAGCAACGCCTATGATCTGTTGAGATCGTGGACAGATTTTTACGACGGAGCCCGAACATATCAAAGTAAGACACGCTCTCATCCTATCACTATCATACCGATCAGCTACCGTCAGGCAATTCTCTCCACGCAGTTCAATTCTTTTGAAAAGGGTTGGTTTCCTCCTATGTAAACTAGAATGTCTTTTTTTTTTACAAACGTTTCAGGTCCGGTGCTTCGGGACCAACTAAACGCTCTACTTGGAACTGGAGTGTTCAACTCGGATGGTAAACTTCTCCTGCATTCTCCCACCCCACACCGGCTGACGTGTTTACTCGGTTTCGGGTGCAGGCGCAACATGGAAGTGAGCGTGCTAGCTCCATTGGCGTAGATTGCCACGTACTCATGCGCTTGATGAACTATGTAGATTCCATCGCTCGATGACTCGACCGTTCTTTAGCAAAGAGCGGATTAGTCACTTTGATACATTCGAAAAACACGCCGAAAACGCTCTCAATCAAGCGAAAGCCAGATTCAAGGAGGGCTACCCTGTGGACTTCCAGGTACATGACACCACAACCCAGGGGTTGTTTTACTGATCAGTCGTCGATGCAAGGATATGGTTGGCCGGTTTACCCTGGACTCGGCAACCGAGTTTTTGTTCGGGAAAAGTGTTCGCTCGCTTTCCGCAGGATTGATCTATCCAAAAGAATCGTTACCAGAGCGGAATAAGCCCTATGTAAACCACCCGTCGAACGTTTTCGTCCGTGCGTTCTTGGAAGCGCAATCTCAGGTTGCGTTCAGGGGTCGTTTGGGATCTTTTTGGCATTTGGCAGAGTTTTGGAGCGATCGCGTCCAGAAGGAAATGAAGGACTGCCACAAGTTTATCGATCCTATCCTCAAAGACGCTTTGGAAATAAAGGGCAAGCAATCTGCCGGACAGATGTGCGCCGAGACGAAAGGAGGTCTTGAGGATACACTGCTCGGACATCTCGTTAACTGTACTGAAGGCAAGCCGTTCCCATAATCCTCTCTTGGGTCTGCACTCAGCGATCTGTTACAGATCTCACCGTCATTAGGGATGAGATTGTGAACATCCTGATAGCAGCACGTGATACCGTAAGTTGTCTGGCTGATATTTGCATTTGTTCGTTTCAACCCAAGCTATGCCAGACGGCGTCTGCTCTGACATTCCTGGTTTACATGCTCTCCCAGCACCCAGACGTTCTGGAACGGCTTCGTGCGGAGGTTCTCAGCAACGTTGGGAGTTCTAGAAGACCGACATATGATGACGTGCGGGACATGAAGTATATGCGAGCTGTCATCAATGGTACGTTACCTCGTTTTGTGTGGGACAGTCGTTATAAATCATGCACAGAAACTCTTCGTTTATATGCTCCCGTGTAAGTCGCTCGTTGGTCGTCTGTCCTCTACTATTTGATGACGTCCTATGCAGTCCCTTCAATGCTAGGTTAGTTTCAGACGCTGTTACAAGGGTCGCGATAGCCGTGCCTGACACACTTTCACTTCGCAGGACAAGCGCAGAAGCAGCGGTATGGCCCGGCGTGAATGGGGGTCCTCCTATTTATATTCCACCAAACGCGCGGTCCGTAGTGCATGCAACCCGACACATATGATCTACTGACGTACGGCAGGACCCCGTATTCTGTGTTCCTTATGCATCGTCGAGAAGATCTTTGGGGTCCCGATGGTCGGCTCCCTCCCTTGAGCATTGGACGGTAACTAAGACTGATTGACTTGCAGCCGAAATTTTCGATCCGGATCGCTTCCTTGATGAACGATTGAAGTATCTAACATCGAATCCGTTCATTTTTCTCCCCTTCAATGCAGGACCCAGAATTTGTCTAGGTCAACAAGTAGGTCTCCTTTTAGTGGTGATGCTAGTGGTGTTGATTGGAGTCTGCAGTTTGCGTACAACGAGATGTCGTTTTTCCTCGTTCGTCTATTGCAAACTTTCTCTTCCATAACGTTGGCAGAAGACGTCCAGACTCGACCCCATGCAGAATGGGGCAAAGGAATAGGACGCAATTCACAGGAAAAAGTGATAATCAGATCTCACCTTACCTTGTATGTGGAAGTGAGTACTCGCTATCATGACTTCATACATGAAGAAAAGTTGATTGTTGCGGCGTTTTACTCACTATCCTAGGACGGTTTATGGGTAAGGATGGGGGAAGTTGGTGATGCTGACAACATATGATACCGGTCATCAGCTGAGAATATGCATGGTGGTGGTAGTCAATTTCAACAGTAATTGTTGTAAATAGCCTTCCCCACTGGTCCGCACAAACAAATAAACGTACAAGTACGATCACCATTACAGTAATAAAGCTCAATTCTGCATCACCAGCATGGCAGAAAGCCTCTCTGGAGCTCAGAAGCAGAGCTACCCTCCTCTTTACTGTCCTCGACCACTCTCCTCCCTCTCGAGCAACGTGAGAACGTCACCATTGAGTCCTATCACATGCCCGACGTCACTCTTGCGGCTGCCTGAGTTTGATCTTGGCACGGCTGCAAGTCTCCTGCCTTTGCCTTCTTACTCATACGTCATGAGCTGTAACCAAGAGGAGCTATGGGATATAATCCAATCTTTATACGCACAGCATAAATCCCTTCACGACTTGTGTACTGTGCAAAAAGCACAGCTCGATGCCACCAATGCGTACCTGGCGGTCACTCAGCGTCGCATCGCCAAGCTCAAGCTGCTCACCAAACAGCTTACAAGCAAGCAGGCAAAGCGCCGCAAGCCGAAGAAAGTCCAAACCCGCCGTTTCACGCTCGCCGAGCCGCATGCGCGTTCAGATGCCGAGGCTGCAGCAGTAGTGCCGGATGCAAAGGAAACGATAGAAGGCAATACCCAAACCCATTGGTTCAATTCTCCATAGACCACTTGCTGCCAATGCAGGGCACTGCAGCCGATCTCATCAAAGCTATCAAGGACTTCCTGAGAGAATCATCTAACGAGCCACACTTCTCCGCGCCAGTGTGTGGAAACTCGTGACGGCCCACAATATGACTGTCGGCTCCATCATGTATCCGAGCCCCCTTCATGCAGTGACGACGAATGCTGTTAAACCTTTAGACTGAGTCCCAATATTAAAGCCACATTTCCACCATGTCGCATCCGTCCCAAGGCTTACGACAGATTTGTGTGCGGTAATTTCTGATCACCATACTAACCAATGTATGGTCAGTCCCAGACCAGAGCATTCTTCGGGAGAGACGCTATACTGAGCTCACTTGTTCCACTTCAGTGTCCACCGGGAGTCTCCTTCCCTTTCCTCTGAAGCAACTGTCATTTTGTACACCGCATCCCGGAGCAAGTCGTGCAGGTAATTCAGACTCTCCTCAGCCGTAGTCCAGCTTCGCTGCTTCTCAGCTTCAAGCACGGGGGAACTCATACGGTGCGAAGGGGTTGCAATGAAGATGAGAAGGTGTGGGTGCGGTGCATGTAGGGATGAACGAACGAACGATTAACGTCGACGTTGGAGGAGTGATGGTGGTGGACCGGCACCTCGAATGGACATACTTTCTCTCCCGGTATTGCATCTAACACTTGTGCTGGTGACGCCGTGCACCCACTCAGTTGGACCTAGTGCTCTAAGAATGTTCTCACCTTGCAAATATTCAATTAGACCACGACTTCCAGAATTCAATGTATCTGCGACATAGTGAATGAGTTGGGAGATATCGTTACTCTACTGGCTCGGTTGCATTTGTGAAGGCAATGAGTATGCTGGACCGCTGGTGCTCAAGTGACGATTGCCCTGGTTTCTCCTGTTGCCTCCAATGGTCGGGTGAATGTCGAAGGTAATTGTCTGCGCGCGGGGGTCCGGCAGCCAGCCTACTACCATTCTCTTTAAAAGACCTATTTTCGTTGGTGTGCGGAGGGTGTGCGGAGGGAATCGAGCACAATTTGCTTTACCTGCGTATAATCAGCTTGTAGTTTGTAATGTCGGCTATTGGTTTGGTACCATGCTAGACCTGCACAACAGGCGCCTCAGTCTTCAGAGCGCCTGTCTGCTTCTGGTGTCGTGTCAACACCAACCACAGCTATGGTGGGGGCCCCTCCAGGTTTCATCTACATCGCAGGTCGACTTCCTCACCTTGTCCGACCTCTAGCACTCGCCTATGTTGGTTCTAGGATCTGGGCGGTGGTCTTCGCGAAGCCAGCTCCACGATGGCTGAGAGTCTCTGCATATCTGTTTTCCATCCCCTTAGCATTGACAAGCAAAGTCCTCTACACCTACCTGCGTAACATGAGAGAAGCAGCACATCGACGCGCGGTACTTGCCCCGCGAGTGAAGAGTATATGGCCTGGTGGCTTCGACATCATTCTCTCAGTCGCTCGGAGCTTTCGGAACGGGCACATCGGTATGAGCATCACGGTGCGGTGCCCTTTTTGGCTGACGAAGCACGACCATTTAGGATCACCGTTTGACCTGTATTGTCAAGAGTACGGCCCCGTCGTCAATGTCAGGATTATGTTTGAGGATCGGGTTAGACCTCTTCGCAGTTTAGCAATACCCATCTGAGATGACGGTCAGATTTTTACGACGGAGCCCGAGCATATCAAAGTATGACGTCTTAACGTCCCATCACCGTGGTACTGATCAACTACCGTCAGGCAATTCTTTCTACGCAGTTCAATTCCTTTGAGAAAGGTGAGTTGTCTTCTAAGTCGACCCAAGGTCTTTATATATACAACGTTCTCAGGTCCGGTACTCCGGGACCAACTGAACGCTCTACTTGGAACTGGAGTATTCAACTCGGACGGTACACTTCTCTCGCATTCTCCCAACCCGCAACCGCTAACGAGCTTCCTCGCCTTTGGATGCAGGTGAAACATGGAAGTGAGCGTACCAACCCCATCGGCATACAGAGACCTATCACGCGCTCATACACGTTATGAACTAGGTTCCATCGCTCCATGACACGACCGTTCTTTAGCAAAGATCGAATTAGTCACTTTGATATATTTGAGAAACACGCCGAAGATGCTCTTAACCAAGCAAAAGCCAGACTCCAGGAAGGCTACCCCGTGGACTTCCAGGTACATGACTGCGCAATTCAGGGGTTGCTTTACTGATTAGTCATTGTGTAATGCAAGGATATGATCTACCGGTTCACCCTTGACTCAGCAACTGAGTTTTTGTTCGGGAAAAGTGTTAACTCGCTGTCCGTTGGATTGGTATATCCCCAGAATTCGTTACCAGGGCAAAACAAGGAATATACATCCCACCCTTCTAATGTTTTCGCCCGTGCATTATCTGATGCGCAATCTCTTGCCGCTCTCAGGGGTCGTTTGGGAACGTTTTGGCGCTTAGCTGATTTCTGGAGTGATCGCGTCGAGAAGGAAATGAAAGTTTGCTACAATCTCATCGATCCCATCCTTAAGGAAGCCTTGGAATTGAAGAGATCGATGAAGGAGGGTAAGCAATCTGCAGGACAGGGGCAAGGGCTTCTTGAGGATACATTACTTGGAGATCTCATTAGCTGCACTGACGGCAAGGCGTTTCTTTATGCTTTCCTCGAGTCCGCACTCAGCAATCCGTTACAGATCCTACTGTCATCCGGGATGAGATCGTCAACATCTTAATAGCAGCGCGTGATACCGTAAGCTGCCTGGCTGACTTCGATCTTGTTTATTCAATCAAAGCTATGCCAGACGGCGTCTACCTTGACATTCCTGGTTTACATGCTCTCCCAACACCCAGACGTTCTGGAGCGATTATATGCGGAAGTTCTCAGCACGGTTGGTTGTTCCAGAAGACCGACCTACGATGACGTGCGAGAAATGAAGTATATGAGAGCTGTCATCAATGGTACGTTGTGTCGTATTTGTGAGGGACGGCCATCATATGTCAACGTACAGAAACTCTTCGTTTGTATGCTCCCGTGTATGTTGCCCGTTGGTCGTGTTACCTCTGTTATCTTATACTGTTTTTATCAGCCCTTTCAATGTTAGGTTAGTTTCCACTGTCTCAGTGGTGCTCGCCTGTCATGCTTTCTACCTTATAGGACGAGCATTGAAGCTGCAGTATGGCCTGGCGTGAATGGGGGTCCGCCCATCTATATCCCGCCAAAAACCCGGTTAGTGGCGCACATGACTGAGCACGTATAATCTACTGACACGCAGTAGGACCCCGTACTCTGTATTCCTTATGCATCGTCGGAAAGATCTTTGGGGTCCCGATGGTTGGCTAATCCTCTTCACCGCCGAACAGTCACTGAGATTCATTAAATTGTAGCTGAGATTTTCGATCCAGGCCGCTTCCTCGATGATCGATTGAAGTATTTAACTTCGAATCCGTTCATCTTCCTCCCTTTCAACGCAGGCCCTAGAATTTGTCTGGGACAACAGGTGAGTGACGTAGTTATGAGGTAACGTCAATGATGTTGATTGGAGTTTGCAGTTCGCGTACAACGAAATATCGTTTTTCCTCGTCTGTCTGCTGCAAACTTTCTCTTCTATAACATTGGCAGAAGATGTCCAGACTCGACCCCCTGCAGGACTCGCCGAAGGAATGGGACGCAACTCACAAGAAAATGTGATCATCAAGCACCATCTTACCCTGTATGTCGATGTGAGTACTGGCTGTCTCAGTTCCATATAACAAAGAAAGTTGATTGTCGTGGCGTTTTCTTTAATCTAGAAGGGCCTATGGGTACGAATGGGGAAAGCTAGGTGATACTGACAATATGTGATGCTGGACACTCTACTGTTACATAAAGTTGCTCGCAAAGCAATCTCAGAATTTCGCTTGCCGCATTTGTCCGTCACCGTCGTCCTAGGTACTGTTCTACCCTCATCCATCATCGACGGTGCGTTTATATACTGCATATGCATTGTCGGGTTCGGATTCCCAATCCACTCTCTGCTCTCGGCACAATGAAGGCAGTTTGTGTCGCTATGGGTTAATTTGGAACGATTGCCCTTAATGCCAGGATAGTCCATTGTGCACCGGTACTATATGAGTCAAAAATTGCATCATAGGCGGGCGAAAAGAGAATGTGTGATGTGTACGTGAAGACACGCGTGACTAAATACGGTGTCGGAACAAAATGGACGGTCGAAAGTCGCACCGAGGAGTACTTGCGAAATGATCTGGAGTAATCAGGGGTGCGGAAATTTCACGGCGGTTAGACTGCCCAATAAACGCTGATCTTTGCTTTCTCCGCGTACATTTGCCATCCGGGGAATCTCGCACTTGCCCACAGTACAATGCAATCTCCCACTTTCAGGTTACGCACGAAGCTCCCATCACCTGATAACCGACCTCGTCCGAGATCCTCGAGTGCGTGTTGGTCCTCTGCAGAAACAGCCTTGTCGGTGTGACTCCATTTCACTGTATGGTGACTTGTCTTGTACACCGCATACAAGTTCCGCTGGAGTAATTTATCGTTTGGGATGGAAGGACGAGTTTGTTCATTCTGGTAGAACTGCACAGGTGGCTCTACGTCCCGGGCCGCTTCCAACCTCTTTGCGTCTGTGAACACGAGTAAGGATGGCCAGGAGGTATCCGCGTTACCAGTGATCACCGGCTGTGGGGCCTCGGCGGAGGCGTCCCACCAGCTGAATGTTTCCCTGTATGTTCCGTGAAGACGAGAAGGATTGGAGGACCAGCCCTGGTCGTGACTCCACAGTTCAAACACGATCCGGCGGCATGGATGTAACCTGTGGTATAAGGAGAGGCTACTCCTTTCTAGGCCTGCGCCGAGGCGAATTTCCTTGGGTTCTTGAGGAGAAAAGACGAAATCACCTTCAGTTCCGGGTATTGCAAGGGGGAGTGTGCGCATATACATGTGGTCTGGTGAATACCAGCTGTCTGCACAAGCAGGATATTTTACTGTGACCGTGCTGTGGGCCCAGTAGCAAGCTTCGTCTAAGATTATGTCGACGAGCTCATAGGGAAGGGGTGGCTTGCATAGTAGAAAATAACACCGAACCACGAGGATGTCTCGAACTGTTGGCTCATGTCTCCCTGTCGGGCTAGGATGGAGCAAACTCGTAGGGTTCGGCGATTGGGGTCTGGCATGGGCGGTTACGACGATTAACTTCGGGAAAATAATGACTTACGCCGGACAGGCTGAACTATTTGTTGAGTTGTACTTAACAACCCGTCTGTCGACATTGGTGTTCCTCACCATTGGGGGTGGTAAGAATAAGAATAGGGTCGTGGGATGAGGGTAACTGCGGTGGATATATCGCAAGGAATCTGCGGAGAAACATCGTCACGATCACAATCATTTGGAAGCCTATTCCTGGACGGACGGATCCAACGGCGCATGGGAGCTGCCTAGATGGGTCTTTAGTCGCCAAGCAGGATCCCACCATGCAGCACGTGGTCTGAGAACGAGAATGGTAATGTAGAGCGCACCACATCAGCGGTATGTGGAACACGAATAAGAACCATATCAGTAAATCAGAAAGCGAAAGATAAGGTGGAAGTAGGAGAGGAATGACGTCACTCTGGTACGCAGTCAAAACGTCCCATCTCAGTCTACGAGGACGTGAGGAACCCACAAGTCTCTGTTCAATGGCGTCGTGAGCACCAGAAATTTCCCATAGACCTGAAATCGTGGAACGATTATTTAGGGGGTGCCACCTGTGGATCACGGAGTCATCCGCACCGTGACGGCTGCTGACAACTGCTGAACCTGGCTGCGTCTGACGGCGACTCAGAGCGTGTAGGGGAGGCTTACATTGAGAAGTTATAGTGGACCTGTCAAAAGTGTAACGAACTAGGACGACCCAGTGAAGTTTCTGTTTAATGGCATCCTAACCCCAGAAATTCCTCGTAGACCTGACGCATGAATCATCATGGAAGTAGCTTGCGATTAGGGAGTGTTACCCACTGGAGTTACATGGATTACGCAGTCGTCCGCACTCGACAGTCGCTGACGACTGTTGTGTCTGGCTGCGTGGGCCGTCTGACAGCGATACAATGTATGTAGGCGCGACCAGATCGAGAAGTTCAAACCATGGGACCTGTTCGAAAGTGGGACGAACTAGGATACATCAGTGGCTTAATTTCCACTACCTAGGAACATGTGCTGGACGGGTCTATGTAAACCCGTACCCTGCACGGGTGCGATTTCCCAACCAGCAGTGTCACCCGTGAGGAAACTCTAGGACTGGAAACGATTGCTTTGCACCAGGAGTTTCCCCTCGTAACCTTTCAAGGATCCGGGGCTGGTCGGCTGTGCAAGCTCACTTCCTGGCAACCGTCTCTTAGTCTGGAAAGAGTGTGGTACCGGGCCGAATGGCTAGTACGGCCCGGAGAGGGCTTACCCCGTTATAGGTACGCGCTGGACATTTGCTGGACATCCCGCACAACATGGAGTTGTAACCCTACCTGACAGTACTGCATGCCACATAAGGCTCGCGCCGTCCTGGCACGTCCTCCCGTAACGTCAACCGAACGAAACCCCAAAATGATGCACCAAGTGACGAGACCAAAAAAAAACCCGATACAAACAAGAATGTCTCCGTTCTGCAGCATCTTCCCCCACTACTCAAGGATACGGACTCGAAGAGCACCGGTATTGGTACTTTGATGGGAGTAAGCCCTCAGGTTTCACTGCATTGTTTTCGGGGCGTGGCTAAATCGAGTTACTGCTACCGAACCCATTTTTACATTCCAGGAGACAATTTTATAATCCTCATGAAATCCCTCTGTACCCTATAATATCCCCCATTTCTGGCTACATTCTCTTCCGAACGGAGAGGCGACCTTGGCAGTTCTTTATTTGTTATCCGACTATTCCGCCGAAACAAGTCATCCCGGGCTGTTTGTATATCATTGACTTCACACAGTAGCAACCATGTTTCGCGCTGCCACGCTTTCATACGACCCATGCTAATTGTCAATTGTCGTGACGGAGTCGACAGAAAGTCATGTAAGTATAAAGTGCGCTGAGTAGACACGCTGATCTGACAGGAGCCCTTTGGTTAGTGGAAAGGATGATGGAATTCGTAAGACCTTGAAGCTACCACTGATTCAACCGATATGGTCCTCGGACACACATTGGCCCTCTGCTGATGTCATTGGTTCGATACCGCGTTGACCCGCCACCTCATCACGTTTTCCACAATTGGATTTGATATCTCCCGCGAACATCCAGTCCAGACACCCTATGGAAAGAGATTGTTTGTCAGGACAGCTTCACTTACTTTGATTTCGGATTTGATAACGAAGATGCGAATGCAATTCCACAAACGTTGAACACAATTTCACCTCCGAACCGCTCTCTATATGATCTACTATTCTCTTCTCTAGCACAATCCCCAATGTGGGTTAGGTGGCGTTGAACCGCTTCCATTGCTTGTGCATATACCTGAAGGCTTTCAACTGTGGAACATGTGGTGGAGGGCAAGACCCGTCGACTACTTCAGAGACAAACTCATCTCCAGACGCTTGGTCAAAACGTACAATACGGCCATGTTTTTCTGTTGGATGATGATGATGTAATTTGTGAGCCGTCTCGTGGAATGTGATGCATTTCACTCAGTTTGTCGTCTGGTATTGTGTCTTCACGCACCCCATCGACGTCCGCACAGTTCTCCACTGACAAACAAGATTTCGTATTCTGTATTCCTAATGTATCATCGGAAGGATCTTTGGGGTCCAGAAGGTCGGTTTAACTTGTTTGGGTTCTTGATGACAAAAGATGAAACCACCTTCAGTGCCGGGTATCGTAAGGGGGTGTGTAGGCATACATATACATGTAATCCGCTAAGTACCAACTGTCTGCACCAGCAGGGTATTTTACTGTGACCGTGCTCTGGGCCCGGTGGCAAGCTTCGTCTAAGATTGTGTCGACGAGGTCATCGGGAGAGCGTAGTAGACAATAAGATCGAATGGTGAGGATTTCTTGAACTGTTGGCTCGTATCTCCCCATCAAAACAAAGTTAGGGCGGACCGGTACGGTTCGGCGGTTGGAGTCCGGCACGGGGGGCGATTAACTTGGGGACAGATACTAGACTTACGTCAGATGTGCTGAACGATTTCCAGAGTCGCACTTGGCAATCCGTCTGTCGACGTTGGTTTTCCTAACCACCGGGGGAGACAAGAACGAAAATAGGAACGAAGCGCTGGGGGGAAGGGTAACTTGGACGAGAGCGACGACGGTGTTATAGTGTCAACTTCACGGTCGTGGTCGGAGGGTAACCGGTGGATGTATCCTAGGGAATCTGTGGAGAAATGCCATCACAATTGTCAGAATGCTTGTTCCTGGATGGATGTACTCAATGGTCCTGAGTTGGAGAGGACCACTCCCCTCATGATTCAAAACTCGCAATGGATTCTCTGTGACTATACAGTGGTCATGCTTGGGACCGTCTATTTCGGGGGCCCAATCTAGATGGGGGAAGATGAGGGAAGGTCATATGGAGAGCATCTTCGACGGTGATGAGAGGAAGAGTGGTGATTGGCCGCTGTGGAATTGCAACTGCATCTTCGTGGTTGTCAAAACTTACGCCAAAGGACCACCTGTGCCGTCCTGACCCGGCATTGGCAAAAAGGTCGGAGAAGTCTGGTTCGAAGACTCCATTCAGGAGACTATGTAGTCAGAAACGGAGGACGGCACCTTGGTATTCCCAAGGCGAATAATGAGTCCATAGGGAATATATGAATGTCGCCTAGACTGTAAGAAAAGCCTCGGGGGTGAATTGATTTCAGCTCGCGTGCCCTTCATAATGAACATGGTCAAACCTTCAGGCTTAATCTGATTGGAGCAACATGTGTACCAAGTCACATTTATCCAAGATAAAGGGTGGGGCATTAACAAAGGCACAACGAATTGCACCTTGCCAACTAGCAAGAATCAAATAGACAGCATACTCCTCAGAAATGGAAATATTGAAAGTGATTACAATGGAGAACAGAGACCAACCCCATGTAGTCCATTTAGTCACAACATATAGGTAGCCTGCATGCCAAAATGCCAACACTTATATAGACCCTGTGATGGGCCTGTCTAAATAGATTAGCCATGACACATGGACAGGCCTGAGGGCCTACATCAGTAAATCACTTTTGCTGTCCAGAGCTGTCCAGAGCTGTCCAGCATTGGATGGATTCCCTAGGACTACCAGTGCACAAAGTGGTCTACTGATGCATAGTGAGAGCAACATATGTACAGGCCCATAAGTGCAATTCCACAACATATGGGAGGGCCTGTGGAGGGTAAGGATGCTGCAACATATAGACAGGCCCAACCAAGTAAGTATGCTGAGCTACTATAAGACATGGACAGGCCCATCCATGGTAGGGTGCACCCCAGTCACAATATCAGGACAGGCCCACCTATTGTATCATGAAGAAGGTTGCAACATATGGATGGGCCTGCCCATCATATGCTTTATAGGGTCACAACATAAAGAGGGGCCCCTCTATGATAGATTACAGAGTTGGCAACATATGGAAGGGCCTGTCTTTGGGATAATATACCCCTGTCACAACATATAGACAGGCCCGTCCATAGCAAGATGTATGCCTGTCACAACATAAGGACGGGCCTGTCAGTAATATCATTGACAGCATCACAACACATAGATGGGCCCATCTAGTAAGATATGCCCCTGTTCCAACATAAGGACAGGCCCATCAGTAATATTAATTACACAGTCACAACACATGGATGGGCCCATCAATAGCAACATGTATGCCTGTCACAACATAAAGACAGGCCCATCAGTAATATCATTTACAGTGTCACAACACATAGATGGGCTTGTCCAGTAAGATGCACCCCTGTCACAACACATAGATGGGCCTGTCCAGTAAGATGCACCCCTGTTTTGAAGGATGCTGTAGGTATCCTCAGTAGTGCAACAAGCTACTGATGTATTAGACCAACCTGTAGGTATCTACAGGATATCAGTAAGTATAATACTGGTAGTGAAAGTGAGCTTACCCTCAGTAGTGCAACAAGCTACTGAGGGAACAGTGAATAAACTACTGTAAAATGTGCGCTCTAAGGTGATTATGTAAGCACCCAAACATCGCACCAAAGTGAGCAGAACAC